CAGACACAGCCAGGACAGCCTGACTCCAAGCCTGCCTTTTGCCAGTGACATCCTTTCCACTTTTTAAAAAGCATGTGGCCACGATAATAACAATAAGCACTGCTGTGCGCACGGCCCGCCCTAGAGAGGGAGTCTCTGTACACGTGTAGGAAAGCTGGGTGGAAGTCGGGTCTTTGACCGGCCATGCAGTATGGGGCCCAACTAACCTGTGGCTCAAAGGCCCATGGAGCCACTAAGATGTGTAAAACTCTGCTCTGGTGGCCTTGCCTCTGTACTGGGCTTCCTTACAGCGGGGTCTTCGGGGCCAGCCCAGGCTGGGTCTGCTGGCACGTGCTCCCTTGCAGAAGCCAAGCGGCCAGTTAACCTCTGCACACCCAGCCCGTGCATGAGTGAGGGCACCTGCGTCCTGCACAACGGGAGCTACCGCTGCGGGTGCCGCGATGGCCGGGAGGGCGCGCACTGCGAGAGCCGTGAGTGGGGCACTTGGGAGCTGGGGTGCTGTTCTGAGAGTCCTGAGCCCCAGGGCCACAGCCAAAGGAGGCTCTAGGGCATCAGTGGAAGGAATCAATCATTTGTTCGTTCACGCAGGAAACATTCAGTGGGTGCCTCCTACATCCCAGGTGCTATTCTAGGTGCAGGGAACAGAGCAGGAAGCAGGACAGAGAATCTCTGCCCTCGTGGAGCTTCCATTCTAGTGAGGGAGACAGCAAATAAGTACAGCACGAAGTGTATTATATGGTGCTGAGCACACACTCTGATTGATGAAAATTGATGACTGGGAGGGAGGAGCAAGTGGACCCAGACTAACTGAAAGGCAGGCAGAGGATGTGGCACGGGTACAGGTGGGTGGGTAGATGTGGCGGTGGAAGTCGGTGGGAGTTCCGAGCGTTTCTTTTTTTTTAAAATGTTGAGCCTTCTTTTTTTAATTTATTTTTATTTTTGGCTGTCTTGGGTTTTTGTTTCTGTGCAAGGGCTTTCTCTAGTTGTGGCAAGCGGGGGCCACTCTTCATCGCGGTGCACGGGCCTCTTACTGTCGCAGCCTCTCTTGTTGCGGAGCACAGGCTCCAGACGCGCAGGCTCAGTAGTTGTGGCTCACGGGCCTAGTTGCTCCGCGGCATGTGGGATCTTCCCGGACCAGGGCTCAAACCCGCGTCCCCTGCATTAGCAGGCAGGTTCTTAACCACTGCGCCACCAGGGAAGCCCCCGAGCGTTTCTGTTTGCTCAGCTGAGAGAGAGGATGGGGAGACATGGAGGTTGAGGAGGGAAGAGAACTAGTAACTGTCTAGGAGAGAAGGGGCCCAGAGTGAGGACGTAGAGAATGATCGTTGGGCAGCACTCTGGCCCACCTGTGGCCGCCGTTCATGAATTTAAAGTTACAACAGCAGCGGCAGCCAGAGGATGATTCCCACTGGAGCCCTGGGTTTTCAGGCACTGGTAGAGGTGGGCTTCCTGATACCAGGCGTGATGTGAGGGGCACGTCTTCCTTGGCTTACGGAGTAAGAGCAAGGCATGATGGGGCCCGTGAGGCAACTAGTTGGTTGAGAAGAGGACTCAGACACTCCTCGTGTCCTCAAAGTTCACTTCTTTCCCAGGGACCTTGAGAGGAGATGCCCCCAAGGCACGTGGCCCCAGCCGAAAGCCTGCAGGAGGGCAGCAGCTGCCCCCCTCCCGGCTGCTACCAAGAAGGCCTGGGTTCCCTGGGCGCTGAAAGGGGGCCTGCCCTCAGTGGAGCATCCTGTCCTGTGGGGTCCTTTGCGTGCCTGCCTTCAGCCCTGTCCAGGACCCTCCTGCCCACTCTCCTGACCCAGGGAGAAGAGAGGGCCCAGCTGCAGATGGTGCTGCCTAGGGACACAGTAGCAGCTGATATCGCCCCTAACGACGATGTTGAAAATTCTTCAGGTGTTAAGTACTTACTTTGCTGACCTAGTTGAACGCTGCTGAGCTGGTGTCATCTGCCACCTTTCCCCTGAGGAGGAACAGAGGAAACTGGAGACTTTCGATGGCCTGTTTGAAGCTCACTTTTCCCACAACAGATGCTAAGTAGAACGTTGTTGGGACAGTCATGCCCAACAGAAGGCAGTGATGAGAGTGTCACTCGGACCCCCGACGTGATGACACTTCAAGATAGACAAAGGGTGGACCTTGAAACACATCTTTCTCCTAAGATGTCCCAGAGGGATTCATTCTTAGTTTGAAAAGGGGCTTGAGTGGCATTTGTGACTTGTTTTGGTGACTGGATCTGCGTGTAGGAGTTGGAAAGGCCCCAGGCTGGAAGGTGACTGATTAACCAGCTGTTTGGCCTTGGGGGAGGGGCTGAGTGTGCAAATGGCCCTGGTCTCCAGGGGCCACGTGAGCTGGGCCTGGGCACTGGGCAGCAGTCCCTTCGAGGGGCTTCTCAGCCTTTACTTAGGAGGGTTAATTGCGGGGTGTTTCTTGAGTGCTTGTCTTACTCTGCCCTTTGGGGGCAAAAAGGAGTAGAATTCTTAAACTCAATCAATATAGAACAAAGAAACTTGGAGGAGTTTTGTTTTTTTAGGCGTAGATCTTATTCTGCTTGGTTTTAGGTTTTTTTTTTTAGACCTGGTTTTGAAAGGAATATTTCAAGAAGTAATGTTGGTTATTTATTTAACAGGAGTTTTTTGTACCTAAATGGCAAAGAGGCTTAGTTGGAATATTTTTTTGGTGAACTGGATATTTCCTTACCCCACAGTATTTAGGAATCAGTTCTCCCCCTGGGTGGTCGTGTTGGGAGTTGGGTTTTTGGTAGAAGCCTTTGTAGACCTCTGATTTAAATCCAAATACTTTCTCACAGTTCTTATTTTTAAAGTAAATACCTTAATGTGATGTTTTATAGGCAAACATTCAAGGCTACCTTGGTTTAAGTATTGCTTAGCTTTAAGAATTTTAGGATTTCTGGTGCAAGAAAAGTACTTGAAAGGTCACCACCATGGTTCTGTTAGACATTAAAAAGTCCTGTGTGCCAAGCACTGTGCATGACGGTCATTTGCGTTCAAGGGATATTTTCATTCCTATTATTGCTTTTGCCTTGGCAGAAGGTGACATCAGAGCAGGGTCACATGCCCACCTGGCAGGTGCCGATAGGTGATGTCTGAATTTACATGAACCCCTTGTCTTTATATTAACAGCAGTTTAATCGTTTCATAGTGTAGGCTTTTTGTCTGGTTCAGGGCTGACATTTTGATGTCCCATTTGAATTGGACTTAAAAAACCCCCCACAAAACTGTGGTCCCTGGGCTTACATATCAAAGCCTTTACTGTTGCTATTTTTAGGTCCCAGCCCTTGAAACTTTACCTTTTCTAGTGAAGGTGTGAAGAGTTCAACCCTTTTGGGGTCCCAGTAGCGGCAGAGGGAATTCCTAACAAGATAGCCTTAAGTGATCTTTTCCCAGCCAACCCTTTTTCTTTCTTTTAAAATAAATTGGCTTTTAATTACACATGTAATATATAAATATGTTCTCCTTGGAAAAACTTAAACACTGCAGATAGATCATAAATCTTTTATTTTCTCCAAATGATCCTTATTCCAGCCAACTTGCTAAATGCTCTAGTTCTAATAGTTGATTATTTGATTCTCTTGCTTTTTTAGAAAGACAGCATTTACAAGTAATAACAGGTTTGTCTCTTCCTTTTGAAATCTTATACTGCTTTTTCTTGTCATCTTGCATTGTCTAGAACCTTCAGAATAATGTTTTAAGAAGTAGTGGTAACAGCATGCATCTGGTTCTTGGCTTGAAGGGACTTTTTCATCATTATGTTCTGTGGATTACTTGATAATGAATGTTTACTTCTATTCCTAGCTTACAAAGAGTGTTTATTAGGAGTGTTGAGATTTGTGGTTTGCTTTTCTGCTTCCTTTCAGAAGATGTTTTTTCACATTTAATTGGTTAATATGATAAATTACCCATTAGTATATTTTCAGTTGTTGAATCACCTTTGATTTCTTGGGTGAATGCTGTCTGGTCACAATACCTGATTCTTGAAGCACTGTTGAATTTCATTTGCCAATACTTTAAAGCTTTTGGTCATCTGTGTTCAAAAATGAGATTTTCTTTTGCAATATGTGTTAGCATAGCTCTGATACAAAATTCTAACTTTCTAAAATGAAAACTATATAGTCCTCAGACTTTCAAGCTGCTATATTCATAGTGTTTTCTTATAATTTAAAAAGTCTTGTCAGTATCTGTACTTAAGGCCTCCTTTTCAGTTCTGCCATTTAATACTGCCCTAGGCTGTCTTTTTATTGTATTCGCCTTTTCAATGAGCCAGAAGTTTGGTTTTGTCATTTTTAAAACATTTATTTATTTATTTTGGCTGTGTTGGGTCTCCGTTTCTGTGCGAGGGCTTTCACCATTTGCAGCAAGCGGGGACCACTCTTGATCGCGGTGCGCGGGCCTCTCACTATCGTGGCCTCTCTTGTTGCGGAGCACAGGCTCCAGACGCGCAGGCTCAGTAATTGTGGTTCACGGGCCCAGTTGCTCCGTGGCATGCGGGATCCTCCCAGACCAGGGCTCGAACCCGTGTCCCCTGCATTGGCAGGTAGATTCGCAACCACTGCGCCACCAGGGAAGCCCTGGTTTTGTCATTTTTTAAAACCTGCATGTTTATGCTATAAACTTTCTTAATTATTACTACTAAGGCAACTTTCCAAGTACTGGTACCTTTTTTTCCCCCAAGAATTATTTAGGAGTGTGTTTAATTTCTGGGAGTACTGATTTTCAGCCACTTATGTATGGTCAGCCTCTAAAGATGTTTCCCTTGTGTTAATTTTACTATTAAAATCTTCTTTCAGCCTTACCTATGCTACTTGATTTAAGGAGGCTTAAAGTCTCCTGCTAAGAGCCCACCTTGTAGTTCTTCCAGTTTTTACTGCACATAGTGTGAAGTTCAGCGCGTAAATAACCATGATGTTTCCCCCCTTTAAGTAGAAGTCTGCCAGGCCTTGCCCCATGTCTTTCCATGAAATACAAGAAAATCCAAAATACAATTAACATTTTATTAAAAAAAAAAAAACAAAAAACTAACTCACCACTTGGGACACCAAGTGTTTATGACAAAGGAAATAAATGCCCTGGGAGTAGAAAGACAATAAGACTCAAAAGACCTTTAGTTCTCAGGAACCAGTGTTAAAGAACTCTGATTCAGAACCCCCAGAAATGAGGCTGAGAGATGACAGGTGAAATGTTCCAACCTGTGTTAACCAATGTGTTCCAACCTGTGTTAACCAGTGCCATCAGAAGAGAAGAACGGGCAACACAAAGAACAGCACTGTCAATTTTAAGAGAAGAAAGAGACCACCAGAAACAAAACTCGCCCCTTTTTTCTTGGATAAGGGCCTGGACATCGAGCACAACTTAAAAAAACAGGGACTAAGAGAACATTATACTAAGTAACTCTTCTCTTAGAAATCGCCTCACCGCAGGACTGAATCTGTAAACACAGGGTAATCTTGTTTCTATGGTAATGTAAAATGTCAGTTAAATCTCAACAGTCACTTTTCACTGTTCTAAATTACAGGATTTGAAACTTTTTTTTCTATGTAATACAGCATCACTTAAAATTTTATTTAAAAGCAATTGGTTCTGGCCTGCTTTAGCCTGAAAAAAGCCTTAATTTACTGGCAACAGTGCCTCAGCTTGGTCCCAAATGTTTTCCCCGTTACCATTTCTCAAAAAACCATAGGTGGCTTTACACAGTTGAAGACAAGGACGGTTTAACCCCTGACACTGCTAAGAATCAGATAGGGGTTTAGACCTTCTCAGTCACCAAAGCCATGTGACCAGTGGGACAGGGCCCTGCTACCTTAATTTCTCTTCCACCAAAGTCTCCACATCAGAATCTTTTCACTTAAAAAGCTTGATAAAGCAATTGCTGAAAACTTCAAGGAAGAAACACAGAATACCCCTAAATACAGCAATGTAATGCTTACAACCAATAGACTTAGGTCTCCAAACAAGTCTTTTTTGTTGTTGTTGTCATATTACTTCCTTTGGCTCTGCAAAGGGACAGAGCCTCCTCTTAGCTGAAGTTTTCCATTCATAGAACCCCAGTCCTTCCTTTTTCTTGTAAACAGACTCACCCTTTTACAGAGTTGCTGCTTTAACGAAGACTGTAACGAAGCAGGATTGTCACCAAGGTCCATATTGACAGGAGAGTCTCTAGATGAAGTTTGTTTCCTAACTTGCTCCTTTCTTCTCCCATTCCTAGGGTACCATTCAAACACCAGCGTCCCCCCAAAAGAAGAAAGTTAGTTATCCTCCGTAGCCAACCTACATATTCCTAGAAGAAGCTAGGAATAGAGACGCCAATTAAGTAAGGTTCAACCCCTGCGTGTCCCCCACTGCTTGGAGCACGTGTTCAGAGATTTCTGAGGCCCTGGAGCAGCAGAGAGGGAGGTGAGTGATGTCTGCCGTGGCAGTGGCTCGTGTGCTTGCATGGATTTAATACTTAGTCATTGGTGCAGGTGCCTCAAAATATCTCCTGCAGGTAATAAGCAGGATAAAAATAAGGAGCAGAGTTTGCCAAAAACACAGGCAGCTCTAGGCATGCTCTTGACTGTATAAATGAGTCAAGGATTCATAACACTTTTTGTCTAGCCCTCAGGCAAAAACCCAGCAATGGGCATCTGCTCCCTGTTTACACCTTTTACTGAGCCTTTGCCACCAGCCGGCCGGATGGCTTTAGGCAAATCCGACACCTGTCTGAATCTGCTGCTTTGGTTTTCATGGCAGAAGTCCTTCAGAGTCACTGAGGTTTTTTTTAATTGGAAAACTGTCCAGCGCCAGTCTGTCTCTGAACTGCAGCTCTCCCCCGGACTCTACTGATATCACGTGGCGGGCAGTGCAGGGATTCACGCGCCCTCAGGCTGACTCGTAAGGACACTGAACCAAGCACAAGCACCTTTCTGGTTGGTCAATGCCAAAGACACAGCAAAGCCCCAGCCCCTGCCTCTTCCTGCTGAGAGCAGAGCCCCCACTCGAAGCTGGAAAGTGCCACCCGCCTCAGAAGGGCCCCACCATAGTGACAGTTCTGCTGCCACCCGTGGCCCAGAAGGAGGCCGGGAACGACCGCTTACCTTGGCTTTCTGGAGGACGGTGCCTTTGCCTGTGACCATGACCGACAGAGGCCTGTTCTTGAGCGCAGTTGCGGAGTTGACTGGGGTACAGTCCGGGGCAGGAGTCGAGGTGGCAGCTTTGGGCTGTGGTCACAGGAGAGAGGGAGGGCTGAGTTCAGGGCGGGGAGGGTGACCCAGTCCCCAAGCCCAGTCCAGGAGGCCCTGCAAGCAGCTCAGAGGAACGCGGCTCCCAGACTCACTCGGGGGCTCACGTTCTCCAGGTGGGTGGTGTCTACAGTTGTGCCCAGCGTCACGGGCCCGGCCTCGGCCTTCTTCAGGCTGTCCTTCACCTCCACAATGCTGAGCTCCAGGTCCACGCGCCTGCGCTCCTCCACCCTGCACTCCTCATCGATCTCCTTCAGCTTCTCCTCCAGGCTGGCTGCCGCCCCCTTGTCTGCAGAGAGAAGCCAGTCGGCTGCAGGGAACAAACAGCCCTTCAGCCAGAAGCCCCACCAGGGGGAGGGCAGGATTCGCACACGCTCTGCCGGAACAGGACCCCAAGTGGCCCCGGACCACAGGTCTGGCTCCAACACTCAGGGCTGGGATGGGCCTCTGGGTGATGGGCGGCCTCCCAGCCCAGGTCCTGTGTCCGCACTCCACAAAGGCTGGGGAGGCCCCAGAAGAAGAGCTCTGCCTTCACGAGAGGGCCTGAACCTGAGTCCTAAGTCCCTTCTGGTAGAGAGACTCTCAGTTGTTTCGATACCTGCTATTGTGACAGCGACCCCAAAGGGACAGAGGAGCTTTATTAATGACCCTTGGAGGATGGCTGGGCCATTGCAACCTGCCCCACACGGTTCCCTCCATCCTTCTGGCACGTGTGCTGCTTCCCTGGGCCTAGTGGAGCAGTGGTCCTCAGCCCTGGCACCTTCTCAGCCCTGTTTTATGCTTCCCTCTTCACCCTGGAGTTCTCAGGTTGGTCCTACAGCACCAAGAAATGACGACTTATGAAGAGTCAACCCTAGGAGCTCACTGCGCTAGAGGAAAGGATGGACGTGTTCAATATAGAATCCTAAGCAAGGGCGCCTGCTAATGAGGAGTGATGAAAGTGTTCTGAAATTGACTGTGGTGACGGCTGCACAGCTCTGTGGATATACTGAAAACCACCTGTAAATGGGTTATCGTATGGTCTGTGAATTCTCTCTCGATAAAGATGTAATATTAAAAAAAACAAAAAAAAAACAGTGGGTCACTTTGTGCCCCCCATGACCTTCCACCACCAATCATGTTATAAGCTTCCCAGAGAGCCCGAACCTGTTAGTGTGAGTCTGCAGTTTAAATATTAAATGAGCCCAGAGTTACTACTCTGAAAACGAAGTCAAATGCTGCTGAAAGGTCTTGGGAGAAACAAGGTGCTAGGAAACGGCTGAAGAATCATATGAAGATGACTTGGAAAATAATCTACAAGGATTCAGATTTCTTTAAAATGAACACAAACTCAAGGTGCTTGTAAAAAAATGACCAGATGAGGCATTAGAGATGTGGTTACTGTGGAAACCAGGACCCAGGGCTCCCGTCAGCCAGCCCAGATGGCAGGAAAAGACCTTGGCACTGCTTTAGAAGATGGGCCAAAAAATATTCATTTGTTTTAAGTGAGAATCAAACACTTCAGGTCTAAACACAATTTTTAGAGCATTTCCTCCTTTAACCAGCTTTTCCAGCTACGTCCTGGTACAGGACAGTGGCCCTTCAGACGGGCTGGAGGGGGAGGACTTTGCAGGGAGCACCCACCTGTGCCAAAGGCTGACGGGGCTGCAGCCCAGGTGCAGATGCGGATTCTTCCCCCGGAAAGCCCAGGCCCCTCCACGGGCCCTCTCTGCTGAGGGGGGGCCCTTACCTGTACACTTCAACAGGGTCTCCTTCAACTCCCGTTTCTCCCTCCGGAGCTGAGCCAGGTGCCCCCGGATTTCTTCCTTCTTCTTCTCAAGCCTCTCCTTCTCCTCTGTGTACCGCTTCACCTCGGCTTCTGTCCTGTTCTTGCCAAGTTTGATCTCTACAGACCCAGAGAGGGGAACCCCCGGGTCAGCCAGGCTGGCCCCTGAGGGCTGTCCCACCCCACTCTGCAGGCTCAGACGGAACCCAGGGCTTTGGCAGTAGATTAGAGCTGGATGCCAGGCCAGCCTAGCACGGACAGAAAAGGAAATGGGGCCCACCCTTTCTTTGCTGTGTGACGTTGGGCAAGTCCTTCACCTCTCTGAGCCTCTGTTTCCTCATCTGAAAGGGAGGGAATTGGGCTAACTTCTCCAAGCCCTTTCCAAAACCTTCAACTCTTAATCTAGCACAGGCACCTGCATTGGTTGCCTTCAACCTGTCTTTCACAGGTGGGCTGGCCCCGGCTGGGGTGATGGGCACAGTGTCAGGGCAGCTCGGTGGGAAGGAGATCTTCTGCTGTTCAGTCTGGATTTTGACTGCCGTGATTCCCAGGGAAGGCTCCTCAGGTTCCTGACTCTCCTGCTGCATCTGCTTTGGGAGAAAGCAAACAGGACCCAGCTGGCCGAGACACCCCAGAAGGTGAGGCCAGCTCACCTGCTGGGGGGCCCCCTGTACCTGCAACTCGGGGTTCTCTGGAGACACCATGAGGGGCTCATCGGGGGTGGGGTTCAGGTCTGCAGGGAGGGCCTCGGCCGGAGGGTCCGGCTGGGGCAGCGTGGGCGAGGGGGCCCGGGCCTGTGCACCGCCGGTGCCGTGCAGGAAGGACTTGACGGGCGTGAGGTCCAGGTATACGCGGTCGGGGTCAGGCTCACTCGGGGCATCTGTCGCAGGAGCAGCTTCCTCAGGGGCCTCCCCCTGCACAGGGAAGAGACAGGGGGCTTTCTCCACCGCCTCGGCTCCCTGGGCTCTGGAGGGGGCCCTGCCGCAGGTCTCCTGTCCCCTTCCTTGTGCCGGAGTTCGCAGGGCCTCCTTCCCAGGGAGCCTCCTGCTGAGCTGGAGTTAGAAGGCCTGGGTCTGCCATTCAAGAGCTGGGGGACCCAGGAGACAGTACTTCATCTTCCCGACCTCACTTCCTCATCTGGAGACAAGAGACTAGTAGTACCTCCCTATCGGGTGTCTGGGATTAAATGAGAAAATCCACAAGCCCTTAGCACAGAGGCCCACGCCCAGTGAAACAAACCTGCTGTCAGGGGGATTATTCCCCCTCAGCTGTGAGCCTCAAAGGCTAATGGTGTCTGGACAGCTACATGTAAAAGAATGAGATAGAACATTTCCTCGTACCACATACAAAAATAATCTCCAAATGGATTAAAGACCTCAGTGTGAGACCTGAAACCATAAAACTCCTAGAAGAGAACGTGGGCAGAACACTCTTTGACATGAAGCATAGCAACATTTTTTTGGATCTGTCTCCTAAGGCAAAAGAAATAAAAGGAAAAATAAACAACTGAGATCTAATTAAACTTAAAAGCTCTTGCACAACAAAGGAAACCACTGATGAAATGAAAAGACAGCCTATGGAATGGGAGAAAATATTTGCATATGATATGACCGACAAGGGGTTAATATCCAAAATATATAAATAGCTCATACAACTCAATATAAAAAAAAAATCAAAAAACAGGCAGAAGTCCTGAACAGACATTTTTCCGAAGAAGACATATAGATGGCTCATAGGCGCGTGAAAAGATGCTCAGTATCACTAATTATTAGAGAAATGCGAATCAAAACCACCACAGGATACCACCTCACACCTGTCAGAATGGCTATCTTCAAAAGCCTATAAATAACATGTTGGCGAGGATGTGGAGAAAAGGGAAGCCTCGTGCACCGTTGGTGGGAATGGAAACTGGTGCGGCCACTATGGAAAACAGTACAGAGGTTCCTCAAAACAGTAAAATAGAACTACCATCTGATCCAGCAATTCCACTCCTTGGTATATATCCAGAAAAAGCAAAAGCACTTATTTGGAAAGCTATACACACCTCAGTGTTCATAGCAGCACTATTTACAGTAGCCAAGATATGGAAGCAACCCTAGTGTCCAACAGATGAATGGAAAAAGAAGATGTATGTATGTATTATATACGTGTGTGTGTGTACACACACACACACACACAGAGACATGGAATATTAACCATAAAAAGGATGGAATTCTGCCATTTGCCGCAATATGGATGAACCTAGAGAATATTACGCTTAGTGAAATAAGTCAGAGAAATACAAATACTGTATGATACCACTCGTATGTGGAATCTAAAAAATAATACAAACAAGTGAATATAGCAAAACAGATTCACAGATATGGAGAACAAACTAGTGGTTACCAGTGGGGAGAGGGTCGGCGGGAAGGGCAAGATAGGGGTATGGGATTAAGAGATACAAACTGCTATGTATAAAAGAGATACAAACTGCTATGGTGATAAGCAACAAGGACAGATTGTACAGCACAGGGAATTACAGCCATTATTTTGTAATAACTTTTTTTTTTTTTTTTTGCGGTACGCGGGCCTCTCACCGTTTGGGCCTCTCCCATTGCGTAGCACAGGCTCCGGACGCACAGGCTCAGCCGCCATGGCTCACGGGCCCAGCCGCTCCGCGGCATGTGGGATCTTCCCAGACCAGGGCACGAACCTGTGTCCCCTGCATCGGCAGGCGGACTCTCAACCACTGCGCCACCAGGGAAGCCCCTGTAATAACTTTCAGTGGCATATAATCTATAAAAATACTGACTCACTGTGCTGTAAACCTGAGACTAATATAATATTGCAAATCAGCTCTACTTCAGTTTTTAAAAAAGGCTAATGGTGTTGCTGCTCCCCATTCCCACCGCCACACCCCGCACCCCTGGCACTGACCAGGGTGGTTAACCAGCTGTTTTATCTAGACAAGTCCCCAAGCCAGGCAGACGGCACCGCCCCACTATACAAAATACGACCTCTTGCGCCTCGGTTTCTGCACTGATGGCCCTGAGGGTGACCTGGAGTCCATTCCTCTCAGGGACCATCTAACGATCTCTGGCGTTGAGGCTTGGCAGGAAGAGGATGGGCAGCCCCAGGCTGCAGCCCAGCCGGCGCCCTTACCACAGCCGTCAGCTCTGACACCTCCACGTCATCATACAGTAGCTCCTGGTGATGCTGGCTGGGCAGGCCGTCAATGTAAGTGTTCGGCTCTGAGAACTTTCTCTGCATCAGTCTGGAAGACACGGCAAAAGAGGATTCAGGACAGGGTGCTAAAAGCCACCAGTCTCAAAGGAGTCATAACAATGAGAGGTGCAGAGAAATCTGTGGGCAGTGCAGGAGGCCTGGGGACTAGCTCTGACCTCATTTTAAAACAAATTCATTTATTTAGGGGTATCCCCTCCCTCTCTCCCCAGGGCCTTCGTACTAGAACTCCTGGTTCCAAATTTCTCTTCCCGAAAAACGAACTTCCCTCGCCCCGTACCCCTCCTCTTGGAATCCTTTTGCCATCTTCTCGCCCTGATTTCTCCTTTTCAGGATCTCCTTCCAACAACAGCAAAACCCTTTCTCGCTTCATCTTCACAATACACTCGGCCAGCACAGGCCAGATGCCTTCCCCATTTTGGCTCAGCCGGCTTCTACCCATGCTACTTCTACCCCCCAACCGAGGACCACTTCTCCCCGAGTCCCAGTTTGCTCATCTAGGAAGCAGAAGTACTACCCCTGCCCTGCTTATTCCAGGGTGTGCTGGGACCCAGCGATGGAGCCATGGGAAAGTGCTGTCTCCACAGAAAGGAAAGCAGAAGGCCAGGAAAGGCGCCAACTCTGCCTTCAGGAGCTGGATAGCGTCTCATGAGAGCCAGGGATGCTGTGGCTGCCCCCGGGCCAGAGGTCTGGCTCAGCTCCTGCAGGGCTGCTCCCTGGCCCTGGCCTGCCTGCTGCTGGGTAGAACAGGACCCACCCTGAGTTCCCAGCTGCCACCCTGCTCGACTGACCACCAGCGGCCAGCCTGGGCCTCGGTCTAGAAGCATAGCTGGGAGTGGGAGGGTGCAAAGCAGGAGGCCCCTTAATACTCACAGCAGAGAGGTTTTGGCGGCGCTTACGATACAGGAAACCCTGTCGGCATCCACGTAGTCGTAAGTGAATTCTTCTGGGTCTGTCTTGGAGCCCGACTCAGAAAGCAGGAGGCCTAGCCAGTGGCCCATCTCCTCGGACGACTTGGCCTGGGAGGAGGCCGAGAGGGACATGAGCAGGGCTGGAGTGCGCTGCCTGGTGCCCCACCCCTGCCCTGATGCCCACCCCGGGCAAGGCCTCTGGGAGCCCTGGGGTCATGCTCTTCATTTTCACTAGCATATCCCATCCCCCAGGGACCCCCAAATGATATTTCCTGCTACTACTGACACCCTGGTGCCACCTCAATGATGCTGTGGACATCTGTCCCACGTATCACGTGATGTTTATAAACATGTATTTCTAGAAGGCTAATGGACCGGGAGAGGACTGTTAAAATGTATGTATTTTAGGTCGACACCTCTATTTTATGAATGATCACATTTCAGTTTACAACCCTAGTCCATTTATACAAGACTACCTCGATCCCTAAGAAATAACAAAATTCAAATTTATTTTTGTTTATGGTTTTAAGAGTCAGGATGTCTTATACACGTTACACCAGGTCAGCTGGCTCTGACAAATCATGAGCTAAATGCCAGTGAAGTTGCTGCCTGATTTTCTCCAGGGGACAATGCATTCTAATCAAATACGTATCACATTGAATATTTCTATTAAAATGCCAACAGGGTTTCTGGGCTTTATAATGAGAAAGAACTGGGAATTCTATAAATACTACAGGTTTACTTTCATGAGGAAAAACAGTCACCATGCTGGCATTACACGACACTGCTCTGCCACCTTATTGCTCTTTTCTCGCAATCAGAGGGGCAGCTAAAAGTGCAGTTTGACGTTTAGCTGGTTTCCTTTCCCCACTCATTTTCAAGTGGATTTCTCAATACAGCTTTTCACGGGCTGCTTCTAGTTCCTGCTACCACCATCCCTGTGCTGGGCGATGGTAACAGCTTCCTAACGGGTCTCATTTTATCCCTTCCTGTCCCCCTCTCCTCCGTCCCCCACCCAGCAGCTGGAGGAAGAATCTTGGAATCCAAACCTGAACACGCCACCCTCCCTTGAAACCCTTTAGGGTCTCCCACTGCTCTTAGGATCAGCACCCCCGTCCCTCCCCACCTTGTCCCACAGGCTTTCCCTACACCAGCCCCCATCCGCCCAGCACGCAAACTTTCCTACCTATTCATAGCGCCTGCCCCACTGCTGAGTGATTACTGAGTAATCAGTTGGACAACCACTGAATAATATCTCACTCTTGTACTAGCATGTAAGTTCCACGGCAGGGAGTCTGTCTTGTTCACCCTATCACTGTGCTGAATAGGTATCTGTCAACAGGATGGATGGATGCAGGAATGAATACAAGCTTGTCCCTGGGAAGCAGTTGGGATGTGGATCTTTTAGCCACCAGAGGGCAGTATTGGAGCAAAATCTGGATGAAGACCCCTGGATACAGGACTAGATGAACAGGGGTGAACTGGGATGTGTGCTTAAGTGCCTGTAAAGCCTTCTGGCTCAGGCCTGCCCGGCTCATTGCGAGGCATTAGATCACCTCTTATTTTTGTAAATGTAACATCGAACAGAGGACAGGGAGTGGGAATAATGTAATTGTGTCACAAACCTTATTATTCCCCCCCCCCCCGCCAGATAAGCCCTAACAGTCAGCATTTTTATGTACTGGCCCCCATCTGGTGATACACAAACGAAATCACAAACCCGCTTTGAGTCCCCAGAAAGTTTTTCCAGCAACTCAGAGAGTTATAAATACTCCTCCTGCCCTAAGTGCAGGAAATAGCTCATTGTCCCGTTCCTATAACACAACCACCCTGAGGTCAGAAAGGGAATGGAAATTTTTTAAAAATGCAAACAATCTCAGGCAAAGGAAGTAAAAATAAAGGGTGGCTAAGTTGACTCTCCCATTGTAGGACTGCGGTCCTCAGGACCTGCGGCAAACAGCCGTGACCATGACCTCTGCCCTGGCCGTGCCTCCCCACTCCCACCCAGCCAGAGGGCCAGCGGTACCTCGAGCTTGGCCAGCTCCTCGCCGTCGTGGAGGATGCGGAAGGAGTAGAGGTGGTCGGGGCTCGGGTCCGGCACCACCTCACAGCCCACCAGGCTGAGGGGCTGCTGGGCCGCCTTGCTGCGGTTCCGGTCCTGGTAGAAGTACAGGTGACTGTCCCTGACGGAGCACCAGCGCGACTTCCACTGGCTGTTCACCAGCACGTTCAGGTAACCTGTGGGGTGGGATGCGGCTTCAGGGCGGGTGCGTGGCTGAGGGCTGCCCTTGCTCCCGGACCCCTGGAGAGGCTTCTCCAGATCTCAGCTCCAAGGCTTGCCATGCTTTGCCCGAGAGACTTTCTTGCCTCGTAGAGGCTGTGAATTCTCCTTCGTGTTAGCTGCTAGATCCTTTGAAGGTGGGCAGCACCGTGCTACTGGGTTTTGAGAAAGGCCTGTCCAGAGGGAAGTGAGTCGTGCCTTGGCCTGGACCAGGCAGAGAGCGTGTGTGTGTGTGCGTGTGTGCGTGCATGCATACGTGTGTGTGCGTGTGCGTGCGCGTGTGTCTGCATGCCTGTGTGCGTCTGCGTGCATGTTTGTGCATGTGCGTGTGTGTCTGTGTGTGTGTGTGCAGCACTGAGGCAGGCACCCCCACTCCGGCCTCCTTGTCTCCCTTCCCCCGCCCTTGCCAGCCCAGGCCACCTGCAGGAAGCTCGCCCCAGCCTGGGTGTCCTGGCCGCATATGCGACCCCCTCACCTCCACAGCCTTAGTTCCCTCAGCTCCCCTGACACCTTGCCGTCCCCAGTCGCTGGGTCTCAGCCTGCAAAGGCCCCTCCCCCTCGGCCAGCTCCGCGTCCTCCCAGAGGTGGCTGGCCCTCCTGGGTCCTGCCCTCCCTGCACGGTCGGCCTTCAGAACACTTGAGTCCTGGAACAGCGACATTCTCCACTTCCATGTCAGCCTCCCAACGGGACACAGAGCTTGTGAAGGGCAGGAACTTGCCACGTTCGTCTCCAGCGCCTGGTTCTGTGCCCCTTGGCCTCTCCACCAGGCAGCCCTTCTTTCTCCACCGGCACACAGGGGCTGCCAGTGCTGGGGCGCGTCCATCACATAGGCCTTTCTTGTTTTTAAATGGTTGCATGTGTTGGGTTCAGCTTCCTCCCAACCTAGGTGAATATTTACGGAGCTGACACCGTGTGCCAAGCACAGCCGTGTCCCTGGGGCTGGAAAGATCAGTAAACATCCAGTCGCGGGCCCCTCTGCCTGCCCCACACACCGTGGGTCGACATGTCTCTGTGCTGCTCACCTTCCCAGGGCACTGGCTTACAAAGCGGATGCCTTCTCCATCCTAAGGGACCGGCAGCTGCTCTGAACCTTAGCCGGGAAGAACTAGGCCCATGCAACAGGGTCAAAGTACACAGCCACCTTCGCACCCAGTCCAGTGCTGGACACTCAGTGGGGATCGTGAATTTCTCAGGGCCACGAGACCATCACATCACAGTAGCAAAGTGGAAGAATGTGAGCCCAGGACCTAGGAACTCTGGCTCATTCAGGCAGGCGCCCCACTCGCCCATCCCGATTCTCTGGACCAGAGAGAGGCAGGGAGCTCAGGCACCGAGTCCTGGGAAGGAGAGTAGCTATGTTCTCTCTGGCCCTTCCCCAGCCACAGGGGACAGCAGCGTGCTTCCCTGCTGAGTAACGGCCAGCAAGAACCCAGCCACATCGCGCAAAGCGACTCACTGGGACCAGGCTCCCAGGCCCAACACCGTGCCCTCTGAGGCCACAGGGCCTGGCAGAGATGGGCCGTCACCCGGCAACCTGGCCAGAGAACCAGGAGACTCCAAAGGCAGGGCCCTGTCTGCTGCCTTCCTGTCGCTCCAGCCCACCCTGCCAGCCGCAAAACACAGAGCTGAACTGGGACTCAGGAAGAGAGCCCAGGGCTGGTACACGGGTTCCATGAGGAGGAGGAAAAGGCCCAAAGAAGGAGAGTAGTGGCCTTCAGGCTCCGGGGCGTAAGTATAGCAATGAGCTTTGAGTTGGAAGCCAGGATGTTTTCTGGGAAAGGTCTCGCTCTCTCTGTCTCTCTTTCCTGTCATCAGTTTCCTCAAGGCCGAGTAAGGGCAGCAGAGATGACCTGGAGGGCCTCCCAGCACCCACACATTCCCTCTGTACCGGCGACATGGGCTTTTGTCATCCCCTTAACGGGTCTTACCAGTGCCCCCTCAGAGTCTTTGCTCCTGCCCGCGGGGGCCATCCCAGCCCGTTTAGCTCCCGCCCGGCCTTGGCAGCTCAGGTCCAGGAAGCCATCCATCTCTGTCTACAGAGTAAGAACGGTTCTTTCTGTCCCCGAGTCCTTGTAGCTAGTAAGACGGCACAGTGTGCGGTTATGGGTATAAGGCCATCATCTCTGTTGAGCTGTAAGCTCTCAGGACTGTGTCCTCCGCCTGCTTGGGCCCCTTTCCCTAACACCGTGCCTACCGTGCTCCATACACATTGATCGAATGAACATACAACTTTAAAGACTGTGAGGAGGACGGCCATCAACTACCCTTCACTTCCGCACGCTGCAGCAAGAGGGTCTGGTGAGGCTTTATAAAGGGCTGCCTGCAGCGAAGATCAGCAGAAACTGTGGACTGTGGGCTCACCCGCTCAAGAGGTGCTAGAGCAAACCCCAAGTCCCCGCCCTGGCCGTCTGAGCCGCCTTGCTGGAGACGGGCCGCGGCCCGGCGGGGGAGCCCGCCCTCTGGCCCAGGAGGCGGCTACTGAAGCTTACTGGATGTCTCGAGGGACCTTTCCGGAGGCTCCAGCGAGGTAGATTTCTTCCTGCCCAGGTTCATTAGGTTGCTCAGTTTGAGGCCAGCAGAACATTTCTTCTTGACTGTCAAGATGAGAGGAAAAACCTTCAGCCTTGCACACAGCCTACCGATGTGCGCTCATGGATGACGGAAAAATTAGCAGACCTGTCCCTGTCCTGTCTGCCCCTCCCTGTGCGCGCACAGGTCTGTGCCCCAGACTCGGATCCACAGGGCAGTCGGGTGTCTCTAGAGGCACACCAACCTCTCCTACAGAACACGTCAGCACTGGAGAATCCTTACAGACTGAATGGGTTCAGAGAGATCTGAACTAGGGTTAGCAAACGAGATGAAAGAATATTCTACCCCCAGCAATTCATGGAACGTAACTTCAGTTTGGTCCTCTCTCCTTTTTTCCGCGATCTATCAGCTGTATACTTCTAAGCAGTTTAGAAACTGGAGGCATGCTGGAATGAGCTGTTAAAATTCGGTAGGGTTGAGCCAGACAGCCGAGCCTCAAAGCCCGGGATACCACCCCTCCCAACCCTAGGCTGAGAGCCAGAGCGTTTGTACCGTCTTTGGTCTCTGGGACCTCAGGGTGGCCATCTATGGAGCTTCCATAGTCCGAGGCTGACAGGTACTTCTCAGTTACATCTGGCTGTGGAAGAGAGAGAGACAAGTGGGTGATCTTGTCTGGGAATGGTTACCTGGGAGACCACAATTTAAGGGAAAATAATAGATGACTCTTGGGTGTAGGCTAGGGGTCACCTTGGAGTCCAAGTCACTGGTGGGGCATGGCCAGGCTTCCCTGGGGCTCCCTAAAGGACCTGCCTTTGCCTTCCCTTGTGAGGTTCCCCACCCCATCCCAGAGCATTGTTTCCTTCTTCAGGCCACCGCATATCCTTGATCGTGAGTTCTCAAGATGACTACTCCACTTGGTGTGACGGCGGCTCCGTAGCCAGTGGGCAGGGCAGGTAGCCAGCCCCAGGGTGCACGAGAGCATCGCAACTGAAGCTGGGACCCACCCATACCAGGACATCTTTTGAGAGTTGACTGCACTACCAACGCGGCAGGCTTTGCAGAAGGGCTGGCTTGTCCTCACAGGGTCAGACCACGATTCGAATCCCACCTGGAGCATTCTCTAGTGCGGCAGGGCCTCTCTGAGCCCCACCCTGCATGTGTATAAAATAGGGATAACACCCCTGTCTGCATTCTCAGGGCTGTTGGGGGACTAGAGACAGTCCCTAGAGTAGACACTCAGAAGATTCCCATCAGGCTTCTTCTAGAACCACTGACTCCAGAACCCCTGGAAAACAAGCCCAGCGACTCCCAACCAACAAGACCTTCGCTGAGGACCAAGGACTGCAGTACCTGGCCCGGGAATCTTGTGTGCTGGGTCTTTAGGGAGAGGCCTTGTTTCTCACCCCAATGTGAAGGAATCTCCAGGTTTACTCTGACTTCCGTTTTCTTGTCAATGACCAAGGAATGAATAAGAATGAAAACATCAGCCCCTCTTCCGTCACCCTAGGAGGCTGTGGGTTTTCCTCCATGGGGGTGGCCCGTGCCTTCCAAAGGAGCAGAGAGCCTCCTCCCTGCTCAGGGCCTCTGTCCATCCTCTGCCTTCCTCCCTGCCGGGGGTGGGGACCCCAAGATGAGCCACAGGGACCCTCTGCACAGCAGGGTTCCGGGCACCCACCTGGGGACATGGAATGTGACCCCGCAGTGACAGCCCTCCCCTCGGCCAGCACCCAGCCCAACTTTCTCAACTTTGACCCTAAAGCAGGGCTCCCACAGCTCCATGCAAATCAGCAGTAGGGCCCTTTGGTTGGGGCCCAACACCCAGACAGTTGCCTAAGTGGGAAGGAAGAGCCTCGAAAAATCTCCCTGCCCAAGAACGGAGGCAAAGTGACTTTTGTCCCAATAAACCTTCCCCCAAGCAAGAAAATACTGTAGGCTTCTGTCATTCTCATCAGTTTCCCTGCCAAGCTGAAGCTACTGCCCTTAACCAAGCACTGCACGTTTCTTATCAACGGGGCTGACGTGCAAGAGCAAAGCTCCCCATCTTAACACCTTGAACTTTATGGAGACAAAAATGGAATTGAAAGCTCTTTCAGGCAGGGTAGAGGCTTACTTTCGGACAACTCGGGCGCTGGGCATCTGGGGTGTACTGGCTTCCCTCACAAGCTCCTTCAGAAGGCAGGCCACTCACCTCCTGGATGACCTGAAGGAAGTGGAAGACCCTTCAGGCCTGCAGCCACGGCCAGACCAAAGCCAGAACCCCCCTAGCCACGTGTGGCCTCGGGACCCAGCCAGGGAGGGGGCGTGTTCCCGAGGACTGTCTCCCGCAGGCCCCCAGGTGTTTGGTGGCGTGCCAGGGAAGCGGGGCGGGGAGGCAGGCGGCAGGGTTGGCAGCAAAGCCCAAACAGGGTGAGGGCAGCCAGCCCTCAGCTCCTCTCACCCCATCCTGGGCAGGGGTGGCTGTTCACTGCGGGGGTAAACACCCACATTTGCCAGATGGTTCGCTGGCTCCTGGGGGCCGTGGGGCTCGCTGTGGAGGGTCTGCGTGCCGCCTGGGACTCAGGCCTGGACGCTGCCTTGGTCCAGGCCAGGCTCCCAGACATGCCTGTCAGAGTCCACCCCAGCTCCCCCGGGAAGGAGCCTTTGAACTGGCTGGCGATGCCGCACTGGAGACCAGAAGGCAAGTGGATTTCAGCTAGAGCCCAAGTCCAGGTGGCAGAGACCTAGCCCTGCGACCCATTTCCCTAAGGCGGCTCGCTACCACCGACGACGCAGGAAGCCCTGCGAACTTGAAGGATCATAGACACTTCACCCCCGACCACAGCCATCCCTTTGAAAAGGCTGGGGATCCCCAGAGCGGAGCAGGCCCACCTCCCCCGCACCTGGCGCCTCCCTCACCCTGAGCCACTGCTCAGCCTGGTCCTTGCTCTGCAGGCCCAGCACGATCACGTCGGCGCTCACGGGGGTGATCTTCAGCTTGTGCTCCTTCTTCCGCACTTGCTTCTCCTTGTGCACCACACTGCTGCCCAGCAAGTTCACGTCCAGCTGAGGACTGTGGTCCTTGGAGGACTTGTAACACTGGAAGAGGGGAGAGGCGAGACGCTGCTTGGCCAGGTTCTGCAGAGGAGGGGCCCCTAGGCAGGGCAGGACCCGCTGAGGGGTGGGCTCTGCACGACAAACCCAACGGCCGGACACCCCTGTGCAAGTGCGGAGCTGTCACCTCCAACACTGGCAACGCGTGTTCTCGGCGTCAGTGACCAGGCAGCTGTCTCTGTCTCCCTCAAGCCTCTTCTTCCCCAGCCCTGCTCATCCAAGCTGCTCTAATCGCACTGCAGACCACGCCGGCTCCTAAAATGTGTCCTCTGCAGGCAACTCCCACCTCTCCAGGGTGGAAGGCACTTTTCCCAGTTCTCTGTCTCTCTGCTTCTGTTCCTTCCTCGGCTTCCCCAGTAAGGGGTCCAGAGGGGATGAAGGCCAAGTTTATCATCCGATTCGTTAGGAGACGATGTGTTAGCAGAGAAAGGAAGCGACTCTCCTCCCTACCAGAGAAAATGCGTTACCCCTCTGTTTCTCACTTGTAAGATGGAGGTGCTTTACGGGGCTGCTTAACAGGATTACCTGGAAAACACCTGCGCGCAGCAGGGCGGGTTGTAACCAGTGAAGAAGGGTGTTTATAATGACTCCATGGAACTTCACACTGGGACATAAAACCAAATTTTAATTTAAAGTAACAAGAAACGGGGCTGTGGTCAGAGTACTATCTTCTGATTCCCTTATGGGTCTCCTCTTATAATCAGTCAGCTGCCTGGGCAGCAGGCTTCGCCCCAAAAGGACTGTAAAGAAGAAGTAGCCCACAGACCAGGGGACAAAAAGATCCCCGGAAAAAATATCTGTGGGATGGGATCGGTGGGGAGGGGAGGGGGCAGTCGTCACAGACGCCTTTGAAAGCCTGCTGAAAGTACTAGTCCTTCCTACTTAAGGGAAAGCACGTTCATCCTCGCACAAGAAGCTCTGCTGGGGAGAAGCAGAAACCCCCTGACGCGACAGGCTCTAAGCACCTGGCATCAGGGACCACCCGCACCTCCACTCCGGGGAGAGGACACTCACCAGGAGCCTGGTGTCCTTGATCACGCAGAGCTGCTTGGCCCACTGGCCCAGCCACTTCTTGCGCCACAGGAAAGCACAGATGCGGGCGTCGCGCATCAGCTCGATGCTGGCCTCGGGCGAGGGCCACTGGTAGGGGGCCGACTTGCCCTTGCTGCTTTCGTCCTCGTCGTAGGACTCGTAGGAACTGCTCACGGCCTCTCCGTCCTCTGCAAGGAAGAGCCCTCCGTCACAGTTCCAGCGGGCAGGGGATGTTCCGAAACAGGCTTTTCTCCTTCAGGAGGGAGGGGAGCAGGCAGGGGCAGCCAGTGGTCCCCAGGCCACCCCGCCCCCTCCGTGCCCTTGGACCAGCCCACAGTCACCAACCACACACCCAGGCGGACTTTCCGGCCCCCAAACCCCTGAGCAAAGCGCCTTGGATGCTGCCTCCGGCCGCAGACGCAGGTGACATAAAACCAGGAGTCTCCCTCTTCCTCCTCAAATCCTGTCGCCTCAGACCCTGTGGAAACCTCTGACCAGACGCGGCCCTCACACGCCTGCTCTTGAGAGGTCCAGTGCCCCTGCTGGGGGCCTCCATTTCCTCCGCTGAAGGATGAGATCGCTTCTGAGGGCCCAGGAGGAGAGGGTCGCCGTCTGAGCCCAGAGCTGGGCGAGCCTCCAGCAGCGGCCCACTGGGCCTGCCCTGTCCCTGGTTCTGTCCTGGGAGCAGCAGGAGCTGGCCCACCGGGGAAGGCAGCCACCCTCGCACTCCTGAAGGCTCTCCTCACAATCGCAGCCCTGCTGGAAAATCGGCTTATCTTCCACAGGCTCCGTTCTCTTTCCCTCCCCACAGAGCACCTCCCGTCACGAGCTTAGCATCTTCTGCCCATCCCCACCTGCTACCCTTCCTTTCTAGCAATGAGCCACCCTCACGTTTTTATTCTGTTTAAAAGAATCCCAAAACGCACCAAATTGCACCCGATCCTGTGCCCGCTCTGCATGCCTCGGTTTCCGCCTCCACCACCCTGCAAGAATTTCTCTGTTCCCCAGGCCTCACTGCGCTATTCAAGGCCAACAAAAACTAGGTGCAGAAAAAAATCAGTCAATCAAACCCCGAAATGCAGGACACGGAGAAAGGAGAACCTCAGGATCCAGGTCCAACCCCTGGCTCAGCACCGGAATCCTGTCTGTCGTAACCCTGCCCCAGCCTCTGCTTGAATCCCCCCGTGGACGGGGAGCTCATACCGCCCGACTGCTGGACAATTCCTTCTATTACTGGGCAGCTCTAACAGTTAGAAAGTCACATCTACTTCCCTGTGACTTCTACAGACACGTTCTGTCCCCTTGAGTCAGAGTGAATGGAACCTCTCTTTCTTCTCCACATTACCCATCAGAAAAGAGACAGCCCATGGGTCCCCCATCTTCTCTTCTCCAGAAGCCTCTTAAACTACCTGCATAGCTAGGTTCCTGCAATACTAAGAAAACAGAACCTCATTTGAATTAGAATGAGGCCACGGCCACAGTTACTCTGGCTACAATGCCAAAGAAAATGTGTTTTATTTTGCTTTAATATTTTTAAAAATAATACCTTGACTATTTTAATATCAGTCTTCTTGAAAAGCAGTGTGATACTACTCCCCTTCCTGGCTTAATAAAAAAGTTGCATAGTTCACAATTTTATACCTATTAAATAAACAAAGACTGAAAATAGTGGTGCTACCCAGTAGGGGACCCTGAACTCTCTCGTATGGCTGGTGGCAATATAAATGAACGCCAGCCTCTCAGGAAACAACCTGTCAAGCCTGCTGTTTCGAGCGCCATAAAAACATTCATACCCTTCGACCCAATAATCCCAGTCCTGGGAGTTTATCCTAAGAAACTAGTTTTTAAAAAAGGAAGGAAGTGGGGAAGGTTACATGCATTAAGATATTTCTTCAAGTGCTAGTGAACAGTCAGCAGAAGGAGACTCAGGAAAGTCTGATTTCATCCAGCGTACCGTGCAACCGTAATCAGTGAAAGCTCTGAAGACTAGTCTGCAACTTGAGAATCTCCTTAAGATAAGACAGTAAGTGAGAAAGCACAATTAAAATTATCTATACAAAGAGAACAGTACTGAAAGGCTCAGAGAGAACTCAAAATAGTTGGTTTGATCTGGTGGTAGGATCAGGGCGATTCTGTAAAAAATGTACCCCTTGTCAGCACTGCGTTAGCTGCACAATAAATGAAATAAGAATGATGTAGTCACTGGGATAGCTCTTTCAGTGATAAAGATTAGTAAGCGAGGCTACAGAGATTAGTGTGAAGAAGCTGGCCGAATCCCGCCCCCCTCCTCCGCGCCCCCGGCTGTTCTGTGCTTCTGGGGTTGCCCCACATGTTCCATGGAGAATTCTAACATCCGCCCCTCTGCCTCCAAGGGCGATGGGGAACAGCTTGGAGGAAATCTAGGGCAAATGTATCGACCATTTTATTTATCTCTAAGAGTGATCACGGGGCTTCCCTGGTGGCGCAGTGGTTGAGAGTCCGCCGGCCGATGCAGGGGACAGGGTTCGTGCCCCGGTCCGGGAAGATCCCACATGCCGCAGAGCGGCTGCGCCCGTGAGCCATGGCCGCTGAGCCTGCGCGTCCGGAGCCTGTGCTCCGCAATGGGAGAGGCCACAGCAGTGAGAGGCCCGCGTACCGCAAAAAAAAAAAAAAAAAAAGAGTGATCACGGCCCAACCATAAATGTAGGGTATTCTTAAACAGGTACTTGGCTTCTAGAGGTTGCAGGATGAACAGGAGTGAAAGGCAGGATGCTCAGATAATTCCAAACCCCTTTTTGCTGTCCCCAGGTGGAGACTGCACCCACTGTGTCCTGTGGCATGTCCTCGGGAACAGAGGGCAGGACAGCCATGCCACGCTCTGCATCCTCTAGCCATCTGTTTGGAGGCTACAGGCAGGGGTCTGCAGAGGGACAGCACACGGCGTGCGCGTGCAGAACCCATGCAAGAGGACGGGAAGAGGGCGGCAGCCACCCTCGGGGCATGCACCCCGCCTCAGAGAGGGCCAGGCAGCAGATGGGATCACCGGCATTCCCGCTCTGGGACAAGCAGTACCCAAGGTGATCGTGGCGTAAACGACTCCTTCAGGCACCTGTACCCACCTGGGGACTCCACTGGGGGGAAATCTGCCAGAATGATCTGTGTGGGATCCAGAAGGACAGACAAAGGCAAGAGGAAGAGAGAGAAGATGAAGAGAGCGGCAGACCCAGATGCAGAGACACAAAGAGATGTGGCGACGCGGCTGCCCTCCCACCAGAAGTTAGTGCATTCCCATTGGAGATGTGGGCTTGTCAGGTGTACCCCAGCCTGGCCAAGGACATCATTTCCCAGCCCCTTCCCATCCAGAGATGTGACTTCCTGCTGCCAATGGAATGTGGATAGAAGCACTGGGTGTCACTCTGCCTGGTGCCTTTAAGGAGCACATAGAGGTTCTCCACCCTTTCTTTGTGGTGGATTCTGTGGCCTCAGAAGGTGACCGAGCTCACGCTGGACGCAGCCTGCTGACCAGTAACGCCCAGCTGAACTATTCCGTGAGTGAGAATCAGATCTGCATTGAGTTACTCTAAGCTGCAAGAGGGCTTGTTTGTTACAGCAGCTGCCGTTACTGATGTCTACCGTCTCTAGCAGGAGACACCAGCAATGCAGGAGCTCTACCTAATAGCTCCTGCACAGGCCGGCAGGGCACTTACTAAACTTGTTCAGAGAGAGGACCTGACCCAGGGAAGCAGTGAGTGGACTGCTGATAAAGCAGGCCAAGAGGCCAAGCAACTGGTCTTTTTCAGGAAGTCAGCAAAATCGCTGTTGGACAAAGAAGTAGAGCAAGGGGCGGAAGTCCAATGGTCATTTCTGCTGTTGTGACCTGTGCGTCCCACTGGTCAAACAGGTGTGGGGGACAGCAGGCAGGAACCAAGGGCAGGCCAGCTTATGATGCAGGGGAGGCCCCCTCTTCGTGGTAAGTATGACCAGCTCCCCACAAGTCATCCTCCGTCCTCGGGCTGGCAGGGGACAAAGGCAACTGGGCTTCTCCCCACCCTCCTTCCTGACCTTGTGATGACCCCTCCCCCCGCCCCCCCCACCCCCAGTTCTGGATAAAACCAATATGAACTCCCAGTCGAGAGACAAACACCGGGATCCTTCTGACTGCTTGTTTGTGTCGAGATGAAGTGTCTGCCCCACCAACAGGCCCCCGGGAGCGTCTGGGAGGCAGGCCCCGGCTGGCACAGGCCACACCCGAGAGAGATGGGCTTCAGACACATGGAGGTGCTCCCCGGGGTGAGTCACTGCTCCCACCTTCCAGACGCACCCAGACAGCCCCACCGCGCTCTCAGCTCCAGTCTGAAATCACAGTCCGGCCGCTGACTTGGCAACACCTCGCAAGCTAAGTGATGTCTGTCCACAAAACCAGACTCTTAGGATAAAATTCCTTTGGGCCAAAGAAGCCCTCACCTCCCACACAGTTCCCGGGACCGCAGACAGTAGGTAAAGTGTGAAGAAAGAGGACAAGAATCCCATGTGGCTCCAGGTGACTGGTCCCATCTCATCCCAGGGCCAGTTCTTTGTGACACCAACAAGGTCCCCCCTTCGGCCAAGTTCATTCCCACCACCAGGGATCCTTACTGCTGACATCTGCAAGTTGCTTTATGCTTTCAAAGACCTTTCACTTACAAAGGAAGGAAAGAGAAGGAGGTGAGAAAGGCAGAGTGAGGGGACCAGAGTCCAGCTACCTGGGAGAATGGGGTCACAACCATCTTTCTTCCAGAACCTTCAAGGCCTTTCTGTGTTATAGAATCCCCACAACGAGAGCATTTCTATTTCTGATCCAACCTCATCAGGCTGAGAACCACTGGCCGAGGACAGATGAGCCCTGCCCCCATAGCAAAGGGCCTCACAGCGTGAGCCCTGCCCCCATAGCAAAGCCCATCTACCTAAGTTAGGCAACCCTCCCCTCCAAAGGCTGGAGAAAAGTCTATTCAGAGAAAAGCCGAAGTCGTTACCAAGGCCTACAGCTGCTTCTGTGTCCCCATCTCCCATCTCCCTCCCCCAACCCCACCTGCTCCTGCCACAATGGCCTCCAAACATGCCAAGGGCTCTCCTGCCTCAGGGCCTTTGCACATACTGTGCTCTCTGTTTAGAAAGTTCTTCCTGCAGGTATCAGCTCCACCCAGTTCCCACTTCATTTGGGAATCGGCTCAAGGTCATGCTATCAGAGAGGCCCTCCCTAATCTACAATAAAATCCCTCTCCTGCCCCAACCCAGCCCCTGCAGCTTTCCATCCTGACAAGTTATCACCACCTGACACATCCTATGTTTATTTGCTGTCTGTCTTCCCTCTCAGAATCTAAGTGCCGTGACCACTGAACCCCACCGAATCCTGCGTGCTGCTGAGCTCCTGATTCCTAGAAGCACGCTGGGTACATGGTGGGAGCCCAGTGACTATTAGTCCAGCGAAAGAACCTGGAAACTGGGCTCTGGTTCAGCCTGACCACATTTCCATCGCTTACGGGGCCTTGTGCCTCTCGGCCAACACACCTCTTCTTTGTCACATTTCTGTGCTGAATCCAGCAACATCCAGGCAGGACCACAGAAGGCATCAGACACAGTAAACCAGCTCCTTGTGGACCACCCCAAGCCCCTCCTTGTGGGTGGGTTGGGTCTGCTGTAGGTCTCAGCTCCCCAGCAGACCAGAGGCCAAATGCTCTGTGGCCAGCTCTCAATTCGGGCCACGCTCTCCAGTAAGAGCCGCCCAGGCTGCCCTGTGTTTCTAGCCAGGGTAAGTGTGCCGGTCACCACCAGGGGAGTTGGCACTGGCCTCCGTGCAGGAAGTGACTGGACCCCCTCCAAGCCCCGTCCCCAGGATGTACCATTGAGGGATGTGTCATATGGTTCAGCCTCTTCATAGTAACCCTCTGGAGACTCGATCTTTGGGGTGGAGAGCTGTTTCCGTTCTGGAATCTGTGGTATGAACAAATAAAACAAACATTTTCAGATACGATACACTGGGAACAACTTGGAATTAACCCTTTGGGTGGAAGGAGAGGGAACCAGAAGAAAAAAATGCCCAGCTTGGACGTCAAGCAAGTCGAGAGGGAGAACGGGGATTATCGTGACTCCCGTCAGCCACCCCATCCACAGTGTTTGGTTTGCATCCAGCTGGAGGGCTGTGGGCGCATTGCTTAACCTCACCAAGCCTCAGCATTCCCCCCCGCCTCCTGCCAAATGAGGCTCCGATGCCCACCACACACACGATATCATTGTACACATCATGACATAACACACTTGAAAGGCCAGATGGAGTCAGGCTGTCATGGTAGCTATGATGGCTTCTGCATAGAATACACTTTCTACAAAGACAAGGGCTGATCGGGGTACACAGAGGAAGAGGACCTGGCTTCTAACTCCCAAACCTCTCCCATAACAAGTTCAATCATTTGCTCAGCAGATACTGGATGGCTCCCACGGACTAGCTGAGGGACACATCCAGATGGTCAGGAGTCAGTCCTGAGAAAGTCTTAACTAGGTGCTCACAGCTCCTTATCAAGTGCTTTAATAGACAAGGTCAGAGCTCCATGGGAGCGTGGAGGGTGTGATGAACATTTAGGACCAAGGAAGGATGCTCAGAGGACAGGACCACCCAGCATTTCTTACATGACATGAGGGTGAATGAGCATAATTTGAGTAGAATAAAAAACACATGCAGGGCTTCCCTGGTGGCGCAGTGGTTGAGAGTCTGCCTGCCGATGCAGGGGACACGGGTTCATGCCCCGGTCTGGGAAGATCCCACATGCCGCAGAGCCGCTAGGCCCGTGAGCCATGGCCGCTGAGCCTGTGCGTCCAGAGCCTGTGTTCCGCAACGCGAGAGGCCACAACAGTGAGAGGCCCGCGTACCGCAAAAAACAAAAACATATGCAACTGTGGAGAAGAACAGAGCATGAACATCGTTCTCTCTTCCATTATTCCATCTGTAAGATGGGCACTAGACTACGAAGGTAATCCCATAAGCAATAGCAGAGGAAAAAGAGAGATAGATGGTGGCATGAATATTACTATATATAGGTCATGAACGTGTAAGTGTCCATCCACACAAGTCCCTGAAGAGGGCCAAGGGAATATTCGTGATGAGAACAGAAATGGCAAAAGCTGAAGTGCATTCCCAGTCCTGGTTTTGAGAAGTCCTTGTGCTGCGTGTTCCACACGAGGGGCAGGCCTGGACCTTCGGGGGGGGCCAAGTGAAGACAGAGGACGGCTCTTAAGGTAAAGGGGGTGCAGGGAGATCGTAGGAGAGACGGGGCCCTGACCTCGGACGGACCCCTGGGCTGCTGGGGATTCCTTGCCCCACCAGGAACAGGGGCAGGAGGTGGGGAAATCTAGACACCTTTGCCATGGAAAATGAGCTTCTTTGGGGGACCTATGACAGAGAGAGCTTCCCTAGGCCTGGCCCAGGCGATGGTGGGAGAACAGGCAGCGTGGGCTCACGTGCCCCGTGGGACAGTACTCAGCAGGGACCACAAGGGCGTCGGTTCCCAGCTTCCCCCGGGGGCAGAGTAATGCTCCTGCAGCTGCTGCACAAAACCAGGCTCCCCAGAGCCAAGTCCTCTGTGGCTCGGCGACTAGATCTATTTCTATGATCTCTAGAGTGAATGTAACTAGGTTCGAATCCAGCCTTTAGGAGTCCATAGATTTAACCGTGGGTATGTGACAGCCTCTCTGGGTCTCACTTTCCCTCTTCATAAAACAGGAATAGTACTGGAGTTGTCGAGGATTCAAGGAGACAAAACGTGATGGTGCTTCCACAGGGCCTGGTGCGTATCCAGTACGAGGAGGCTGTTGTCATTGTTGTCTGGGGGCCTCCACGACCCAGGCGCCCTACAGGAGCCAGGTTACTGGATTGCTGTCCGGCAAGCTGAGACAGGTCCACATGAAGAGGGTCAGCAGAGGCCAGGCCACCACCTGGCTCCCATACCACGTCCTTCGAACTCCATCTGGCCCGACACCGAGAGAGCTGACCCAAGTCCCAGAGGCAGGCTCTGAGCAGCCTGCAGCCCCAGCAGGTGCGACACACAGCACGCAGGAAGGAACAGAATAATCTGCTCATTTCCTAAGCAGCCCAGCTGCGCTCCGGGCCGGCTGCGGAAGGGCGACGGCTGCGAGCAGTACCTTCAGCCGGGCTCCTCGCCGGGGCGAGGGCCTCGCACATGGTGGACACATCTGGTAGCTGCTAGTGGATGACCCTTCGCCTCTGCTGCCCCTGGCCTGGAGAGACGTTTCTGCTCCTCTCGGCCACTCCTGGCCCCTCGGTCAGCCAGAGGAAGGGCTGCCTCTGAGAGCCTGCTTCCTGGGGTCTGAGGGGAAAATGTCTCCTTACCTGGGCCCCGACAAGGTCTCTGCTTTTGGGTCCTGGGGCTCAGGCTTCCTGAGTGGGCTGGGCCTCCAGCTGCAGCCTCCAAGAAGCCCCGCTCCCCATACGGGGTGTGGGAACCCTTGTCTTGCTGAGGGCGTGGGGATCCCATCCGGAGGGAAGCTCTGAGCACCCAAGGTCTGGCTCTGGTCTGGATTCCCATGATTAGAACAGGACAGAAGGGGATTGAACCCTCCTGTGGGAACTCCTGCTGGGTCATTATCCCCACAGGGGGCCTGCCCTCCCATCTAGGAGTTGAGCACCAGGGGGTGTTTCTTGAGAGTCTCCCAAGCCTCTCACTGTGAAATCATCTGTAAATGGATCTATACAGAGAGGCAGATAGGGCAGTGGGGCAGGAATCTGACCTTCGGGGCTGGGTTCGAATCCTGACACTGGCACATCGAGCTGTGTGACTCTGGACAACTGACTTGACCTCTCTGGGCCTCAGTTCCTTTGCTATAAAATGGGGAGAGTAGAAGTACCTGTCACATGGGGTCACTGTAAGGATTAAACTGTGCTCAGCACTATTAAATAATAAATATTAGTGTTCACTAACCTTCAAAATAAGATATAAAAATATCAATCAAAGGGAGAAAAGGTGCCTGTAGGCATGTTTGGTGGGGGAAGAACAGGTGTACTCTGGGAGGATACAGAGGAAGTATTTGGGCATGACCTGGCTTATAGCAAGCTCAACTGCCTTAAAGAACAGGACAGCCCCTGTCCTCAAGGCGGCCAGGGCAAAAGATACGGGCCTGGGTCACGTTAAAGGACAAAACGATTCCAACAATTCAGAAGAGAGTCATATAATTACACAGGCGCGATGGCCTATTATCAGAGGAGCAAGAGATCCTAAACTCCCGGAATTAAGAATGAAGGAAAGTTACTTTATCATCATGATGATGAAGATGGTGCACATTCAACGAAGAAGCAGATGTGTGACTTCGGAACCTGAAATAACTGAGGGTTCACAGGAAGGGACAGGGAAGAAAGCCACCCTGCTCAGCGTGACTTGCCAGAGATTGGCAAACTTTACCTGTAGAGAGCCAAACAGTCAATACTTAGGGATTTGCAGGCCATTCAGCGGCTCCGACCTCAGCTCTTCTACCCTGCTACTGTAGTGCAAAAGCACCCATAAATATACACAAATGAATAAGCGTGGCTGAATTCCAGCAAAATGTTATTTACAAAAGCAGGTGGTGCAGGATTCGGTCAGGGGGCTGTACCTGGCCAGTGCTGATTTAGATGAGACACAGAGCTGAAGATGCGGGGTGGCCCAGGTGACCTGGGACATCCCTGCAGTTCTGAGCAACCTGCCCCAGAATGCACTGTGGAAGCTTCCGGGGTGGGGGCTAGCAGATCCAGACCGAGCTCCCCAGACCAACCACGGTGACGGCCTTCCCTGCCCCCGCAGAGCAGCCTGCAGAAGTCCAGCCCCGACGCATGGTCAGGCCTCAGAGGGGAGGCGGGCGGAGGTGGCTGCCCAGGCCAGGAGCACAACGGTGCCAGCAGACGTCTGTCTCTCGGAAAGCAACCGCCGCACCTGGCTGTGCAGACCGTGGCCTGGAAGTACCACAGCTGCTGAGTCACTGGCCACACCCACAAGATCGCTCCAGACCCCTGGCTGCCCCCTCCAGTGTTGGACGGGCTGAGCCTGGGACAGAGGCCACGCTCCCGGCCCAGCCCTGGGCACTGAGGACCCCAGGCAGACGCCCAGCTTGCGCTACAGCCACCAGAGAGCCCGGGGCCGGGCATGCAAGAGGACAAGCCACCGTGGCGCCCTGAAGCTCCTGGGTCAGGGTGGGAAGGGACACGGCTTTCCCTGGCCGAGGAAGAGAGGTCACAGGGCCAGCCAGGCCCAGGCTGCCACGCTCCCTCCCTCCCCAACTGCTTGCTGTTCTGGTTCTCCTCCTCCCTGTGAGAGCCAGAAGACACAGCTGTTCCCCGCTCCGCCCTGACACCGCTCCTCTGGGGGCCTTGGACTAAGTCTTCAGCCAGACTTGACCAGAGAGGAGGCTGGAGGGGAGCAGGCGTGTGTGGGCAGGCAGGGAGGACCCCGGGTTCTGCACCCCCCCTTTCTCACTCCACATCCAGAAGGCCCTGGGTGGAGGTGGGCGACTGGGACAGAACTAGGAGGGACCTAGGACAGGTCCTTCTCAGCAGAGCAATTCCACAAGGAGCGGAGACTGCCACGGCCGCTCGCTCTGCTGGAAGTCGCCCCACGGCCTGGAGTATGTCCACGGGAACCGTCACCACGCATCTGAAAGGCCACACGTCTCGGGTGGTGGTGTCTTGCCAGTGCAGCAATAGGTTCCTCTCGAGCCTCTCCTGGCCCCGATGGCCCACAGACACAGCTGATGCCGGGAGTCCGCTCCAGGGGACAACCACAGTCCTGGCCTTGATCGGAGGCCCTGCGTCTCACACCCCCGAGCCCTTGAGGCCTCTGTGCCGGGGTCACAGAAGGCTAGCAAGGGAGCACTAAAAGCCAGCCAGAGTCCCGGGGCTGCCGGACTCTGTGACCACGACCCGGCCCCAGACCCTGGGTTCCCAGTCCACCACCACGTTCGTCAAACACGGGCTTCCAGAGCGAGTCACCGCTAAGAGGCTCCACCAGGTGAACGCCCCTCCCGTCTGGTGTGGACCCCTAAGCAGCTAGCTGCCCCGCGTGGGGTGGGCAGTGGCACCCCACTGCACAGAGGTCAAAGGCACCCCGGTCAGAATCACACACGAACTCAGGCTAGGAAAGCTGCAGCCCTGGCTCAGAGCAGCCACCTCTCCTTCCCCCCACCCGGCAAGGGGTGCTTGGGGCGTAACCCGAAAACCACAACACCTCCCGTCTGCTTAAAACCAGCAGCAACTGGATGGGAGCTGAGAGGCCATGCCCCCTCCCCAAGTCCCGGCGCCAAAAGTGAGGGGAGCCTGCAGCGGAAAGGGACACGACTTGTACCTTTACTTGGCTAAGAAGCCGAGCTGAAGTCCGGGAGGCCGCAGAGTGGTCCAGAAACCAAGAAACCGCATACAAATCCTGGGCCTGCTACCTCCCAGTGGTGGGATCTTGGCCAGTTGTTTTAACTCCCTGAGCCTCTGTTTTTTGGCAGGTGGTGGGAGGACCATGTTTGTGTGCACGGAGTGGGCAGCGGCTCAGAACATGACAGTCACTCGTGGCATCAGCATATTGGGGTACCCAGGGACCGATGCTCAGTCCATCAAGTCTGTCAGCCTGAGATGAAGGGTCCCTGCCAAGCTGTCACCCAGCTCCAGGGGCTCCTGCAGTGGGATGCTGCCCAGACCTTCCAGGCCTGCCCTACCAGCTGTGAGAGCAGCGGGCAGAACCGTACTGCCCCCAGGAAGGCATGAATGAAGGGGCCAGTCTGGGGACGGGACCCCCTCAGTGGTGACCTGAGCCTACGGATCCAGTGATGGATGGCTTGGTGGGAGCTCAGTGACCGTGCAGTCCTACGGTCCCAGAAATCCTTCCCAGCCAGATCCTAGCGTGGGAAGAACTTGGGTTCAAGTTCTGCCACTTCAAGGCTGTGTGACACTGGGATATTATAAACCCACTGATTCTCGGTTCTTCACCCATAAAATGTAAATACTACCACTCACCTCACTGAATGCTAATGTGGTCTGCCATGCCCCCTGAATAAGAGGAGCTTAGGTGAGAGATGTTTACGTTCCTTTCATTTAAACACCAGGAAACAGAGGGCCAGAGACCTTAACTAACCTGCTCAAGGTCAAGGAGCTAGTACCTGACAGAGCTGGAATCTGAACCCAAGTCTGCAGGAGTCCATAAATCCATCCATCCACAAACATGCGTGTGGTCTACTGTGTGCAGACACAGGACACGAAGCAGTAAACGAGACACAGTCCCTGATTCAGGGAGCTTACACCTACTCTGGGAGGCAAATAATAAACACGGAGGGGTAACTGGGCGGTGTGGCAGGCAGTAATGGGGGCAGGCACCGAGGTGGGATGCCTCACATGGGTAAGTCAGGGAAAGTCTGTCTAAGAACGTCTGAGACAGGAGGAGGGGGCAGCCTTTGAGGGGCCAGGGCCCGGGGACTGCAGAGTCCCCGAGGCAGGACTGACCACAGGGAACAACCCAGGAACAGAAAGGAGGCTGGTGAAGAGCAGATGCAATGAGGCTGGAGACGCAGCTGGGCCAGACCGTGTAGGCCCTGGGGCCACGTGAAGGAATGTGGATGTTCTGTCCCAAGTCCAGTGAGAGCTCTTGGTGGGTTTCAAGCAGGAAGTGGTGTGATGTGGTTTACATTTCTGAAAGGTCACTGTGGCCTGAGCTGGTGCCCATGTCTGTACAAGGCCCCGCTCATGGGGTGCTGGTGAAGAGCCTGGCGTAGCCTCGGACACACAGAGACCCTCATCTCGCACGGCCGTTCCTCTTTGCGCCGAGCAAATGACGTCACCTGCTAGCACGCTTACTTGTCTCCGTCCCTCCCGGTGCCCCGGACCCCACAGACAACAGGTGCTCCGAAAATGCCAGACGCTTGGTGGACTGACACCTGCGAGAAGCATTGGACCTTCACGGGACCCAAGTCAGGGAAATGAGGGGTCCCGGACCCACACTTACGATCTTGGGTGGCGGGAGGTCTGGAAGACTCTTCTGAGGGGCCGAGGAGTGCTGGCTGGGCTCGCCGTTAGTCAGTGGGCTCTGCTCCTCGGGCGCTGTGGGAAGCAAGCAGAAGAGGGCTTTGATGAGGGGCACCCAGGCTTGCAGTGGAGTCTCAGTAGCCAGGAATGTCTGGTCACATGAGCCCCCAGTTCTATTTGGGCAGGTGTTAATTACCCAGGCAGGCGGTCCCTGGAGCCAGTGTTGTTTTTCCTCCAAGAATAGGGTAGATCGGCCATGGGCAGTTTCCTCAGGAGGAACTGGTTTGAGGTTTCTGGTAGGTTCCGCACCCTCTCCTCCACCGGCCCCATGTCCAAAACGCCCTGGCCACAGAGCTTCAGTGAGTGGAGGAGCTGCCCGTGGTCACTATATTGAGCTGCTCTCAGCACGGACCCTGTGATTACCTCTGTCCACCCCATGGTTTCCCCGGAAGGCAAACAACCTAGGGCCCGGGGGCTGCTTTAGTGCAGGGGACTTCTGCGGAGCCCACGCTTGGTGGTGGGGCAGGAGGTGAAAGCCACACTGGGGACCTTGGCCACCAACCCTCTGTGCACTTTTAAGGAAAAGGCCCCAAAGGCTCTTCTGAGCCTGACCATTTCAGCAGGTGGCCAAGCCAGCTGGGGACAGACAGGTTCAGGCAGATCTGACCCTGGGGCTTTGCTGGCTGATGTCCTGAAGCCAAGTCTTTAACAGGACCGAATGTTTGGGGATGCTGTGTTCCCACCTCTTGCTAAGCCTCTGCCTTTGAGTCACAGGCTTGAGAGCTGCGAGACGGGGGCTTCTAATCCCCTCTCCTCTGCAGCTAGGCAGCTCTGCAAACCTCTGGGCCTCCCTGGGGTCCTGCTGGACCCACTCCTGAGGGTTTTCAGACAAAAGCAGAGAGCAGAACAGAGAAGATTAAGAAGCCATGGAAGACATCACCTGTCCTTCCAGTGGAAGGTAAGATGTTCTGCCAAGTGATCACCTTTGAACAAAACCTTCGATCGAATATTAAGGCAGCTGCTGACATCACCGACTCCTCGCCATCACCCCCCCCCCAACACACACACACTCATAAAATCCAGACTTCTGTCAAAAGTCATAAAGCTGGGGCTGTGGGATCAGCACCTATACAGCTGCTTTCTTAGAGCATCTGAATTATAACTTCCTATTCCTGGGACGATGCTGAGAAACGCTGAGAGATTTTAGGGACTGAATCCTTATCCACGAAGGGGACACGAGACCTTTAAGAGGCAAGGAGGTGGCCTGATAAGACATCCCAAAATACATCAACCCCAAATAGCATCACCCAAAATGCGACTTCCAAAAATAACCCCACCAGGCCTGTCTGTGGTCCTGGCTGGGAGGAAGGAGGGGTGGGACGGGACCAAGGCTTATACTGGCCCCCTTCCTGGGAGCTGGCCACTCCATCAGCGGCAGACCCATACCTTTGTCTTGGGACTCGGCATCCTGTTGCTTGTGGACCGTCACTTTGTTCATATAAATGTACTCCTCGTCAGAACCTGCAGAAGGAGGATGGAAGACACAGGCTTCATGTGATTTCATGAAGGGAAAGGGCCTCTAGAGAGAAAGGATGTCCCCTCCACCCCTCAGAGACATTGTCATCAGCCTGGATTCCAGTAAAAGCATACAACATTTTGAGTTGATTGAAAGAGTCCACTGTAGAAAGAGCTGACAGATTTCCAAAAAAAGAAATACCACATTGCTGACTGTTAGTTTTCTAGCCTGGGGGGAGGGGAGGGGAGGGAAGGGAAGGGGAGGATACAGAAGGATAGCTTTGGGAATAAAAGGCTTAAGTGGAAAAGCACCCATACCTTAAAGATCTGCCTCATATTCCACCAAGCAGAGATTTCTCTGGGTTTCCTAGCATTTTGTTTAAATTGTAAAACATTTCCTATCAGTCATTCTCACCCTAGTCTGAATTACACTCATGGGCTAATCAGAGTGAGGTCTATATAAGATAGGTCATATTCAGGACCTGGAAGTTTAGCTCCCAGGCCTCTAGGTGGGGTGCCACTGTGGGGGCCTGAGCTCTGGGTTTGGAGTGGGGAGTGTGCTGGGATTTGGACCTGCAGGACCAGCAGCTACCTGCTCTACCTGCAGTGCACAGCCCTTCCCCTCCTTTAAAAACATTTCTGTACAGGCTGTCACCTTCCCCGTGCATGTCTAGGCAGAGAAAGGCTTTGACCCTTTCTTCAGAAGCCTGCAGAGGAGACTGATCTGAGTGTTTCTCCTCCTAGAAATCCTCCTGCATTTCTTTGTGCCTCTTAATTTGCATTTCCTAGAAACTTGCGGCTGATAAATTCCAGTGGCTGGAGATGGTGCTACAGAGCCAAGGAGCCCAATTCAAACCCCTGGCGAAGGAGGCAGTTCAGCGCCAGCCAGTTCCACACCACAGACCGCCTAGACTCCAGCCAGCAGGCCTGCGTCAACAGAGCCCTGAGAACCCAGAGGAACAGGAGGAGGATACGGCTGGATGGATCTTCCTCCATCAGCCCGTGGGATTGCCACCCTGGTGCCCAGCCCTACCAGAACCAGTCAGCAACGTCACCCCTATACCAAGGGCCGCAGCAGCTTATCAGAGGGAACTACAAGGTCTAAACGTAGTTATCCACAACTTGCATACTTCCACTGAGGGGCTGGGTCTGTACCTCCTCCAGAGCACGGCACAGGATTAAAGCACTCTGCAGGGAGAAGCAGGAGACAGGGTAGGGGATGGGCGGCGGGGGGCCTCGGCCAAGCTCTGCCATTAACAGTAATTCTGAGCAAAACAGCTAACCTGTGTGCCTTAGTTCTCTTGCCTGCATAGTATGGAAAATAATTGTGATGAAATATTGCCTAGTTCTACCTAACTGAAATTTTCAAATGTACAAAACCCAAACGTTAGGGAATTTGAAAAAGTAAGGTAACCTTGTAACTAACAAAGATTAAAAATCACAGCCTAGGGCTTCCCTGGTGGCGCAGTGGTTGAAAGTCCGCCTGCCGATGCAGGGGACACGGGTTCGTGCCCCGGTCCAGGAGGATCCCACATGCTGCGGAGCGACTGGGCCCGTGAGCCATGGCCGCTGAGCCTGCGCGTCCGGAGCCTGTGCTCCGCGACAGGAGAGGCCACAATAGTGAGAGGCCCGCGTACCGCAAAAAAAAAAAAAAGACAGCCTAAAACATGGGAAATAATTCAAAGGCTCAATAATAGGAAAATGGTGAAAGAAACCATGGCACATCAACATAGGTAACAGCAGGTCACCTTTAAGAGTAAATGGATTACCGGCACAACCATTTTGGAAGTGATCTTGGAGGATAATTTAATTTTAAGTGTTCATATTCTGTAACCCAACATTTCCGCTGCCAGAAATCTATCTTGAAGATAAACTCCAGCATGTAAACAAAATTTTATTTGAGGGTGTTTACTGCAATATTATATGAGGTTTTTTTTTTTTAAGAACAAAACTTAAATGCCCACGAATAGGGGGCTGGTTGAATATTATTGTTCATCCATGGATGGACACTACCCACCTGTGAAAAATAACAAAGTAGCTCTATGTCTGCTGTTTACAAAGATATCCAAAAATCACAGTTAAAGGATCATGTTTCAGAAAAGCAAAAAAAAAAAAAAAGAAAGAAAGAAAGAAAAAGTATGAGAACTGTCAACATAGGGAAATGTGCACAGGCAGCAATTCTAAATGTAAAAATAATGCAAAGCAGAGTACAGAGGCAAACCACAGCTACATGAAAATATCCCGATGACACCGATAAAGATCAAAAAAGGAAGTGAAGGAATGTAAATAGTTTTTAATGTTCATTTCACATTCTTTTCTTTTTTCATACTGTTAACTAAGCCCACACTCCCGTACAAAAGAAAAGGCAAGATATTGTTGTTATTGTTTTAACTGTTAGACTCTGAGCAGGTGCTTCCCCCCCAAGACGGTGATCTGTAAATTGCAGAGAAAGCTGGCACTGGCCGTGTCACCAGGCTGCGTCTCCCTCCTTGGACACTCTGCAGGCCATGCTTGACTAGGTGTTGATTCTCAACACCATCCAGTTGGTAGGTAAGAGGCTCCCAGGACCATCTGCAATCCTGTGAACTTGGCCCTGGAAAGAGAAGCCTGATGAGCTGTCCCAGGTCTGGGAGGCAGCAGCCTCGGGTTGGAGAATTTCCATCATTGTCTCATTCATTTTCAGAAGTGCACTGAGCACCAGCACTGTACTAGGTGCTGGGGATACAGCAGAGAACAAAACAGACATTGTCTCTGCCGTTGTGAACTCACCAGATCGGGGGAGGGAGAGGGAGAGGGGGCAGACCCAGATGGGGTAGTCGCACAGGTATGTGGGAAATGACAGCAGCTACAGGTACGGTGGAAAGGAGAGCTCATCGTGCTTTGAGCAAGTGTGTGGATCCTGGGGGAACGACCCTTCTCTGAAGAGGGTGGTGGGAAGGGGTAGGGAGGAGGGGCCCGGACCCTCTTACTACAGCTGCATAGACTGAACGTTTGAAGCATTTCCCATCACAGGGGCAGCCCTGAAATGTTCCCAGAGTCTCTGAGCAGGGTACTGGGGGGCCCACAAGGTTAAGACAGGAAAAAATATCGGGCCCCCAATAGACAGACCTCAATCCATGTCTTGACCTTACCACCTAGACAAAAGGCAAAGAGAGTGGAAAATTCAGTAATACACTGAAGATCGGAAAATGGAAAATTCCATTTGAAAAGTGCACACACACACACACACACACACACGCACACACACACTCATGCTCTGCCCCAAATGTGTTGAAGTAAACAACAGCTCAGCCAGTGGAGACCACAGCCTATCTTGAAATGATCATCCTGCCTCCACCTGTAAGTCCCGTCAGGCTGAGTTAATTTTCTGGAAGATACACAGTGAGGCAGGCATGGGAAGCTGAGAGAAAATGACCAACGCGTTCAATTTAAGGGGCTTTGGATTCTATCCCGTGCAGCATAATTAACCTGGTACAGACTCATCTGGACCGTGGAGAGAGGAGGGGAGCGTAATGGTTAGGTCTGCTGGCCCAGGCCCAAGCCTGGGCTCTGCCACGCATGGCCATGCGCCTAAAGTAACTTTCCAAACCTCAGTTCCCTTGGTGGTAAGATGGGGACAGCAACTCCCTCACTGCCTTCGGACGGGGTTAGATGACACAATCCAAGTCATTTCATTCATTAAGCACGGGGCTGGGAAATGGGAAGAGCACAGAAAGTGTGAGCTGCTGTTATAACCACTCTGCCATCCGAGAGGGTGCAAAGAGGACCAGAGGGGAAGTTCGAAAACAGTGGCTATTCATCCGTGGGCACTGACCTGGAGAACAGAAGTGACAGCCGAAGGCCTTGGTACGGCTATGCGCATTTTATCGGTGGTCTGGGTGTGCTCTGGGGGCAATTCACACTGGGGGGCCCCCGACCCGTTCTCAGCAGCTCCTGCAACCCTACAAACTGCAGAGAGCAAGGGTGGGGAAGGCCTGACTTTATGAGAGCAGAACATACACACATCAAAGGTGAAACAGAGGTCACCCTACAGGAAGCCACACTAGACCACAAAGGGGACCCCACACCGGGAGCCCTGATGGAGTGGTGAGAACCAAGAAGCAGAGGTCAGACGCCATCACAGGGGTGTTTCTCAATTCCCAACAAAGGTGTTCTTTATCATTAAACATTCGCAGGTTGGAGCACATCTAAATGGCCTGGGAGTGTGCTCTGTAAAGAATTCCACCGATGAGTCCTTCTGTGGAGTGATTCATCCCTCTGTAACTTACCTGCTTTGTAATGGGGATTTCCCATCTGCTCATCCCACCTTTGATGTGCTACTGACCAGCACTCAAGGCAGGTCAGCAGATGCTCACTACAAAGCTAGGAGGAGCCTGTAGAGCTCAAAGGCAATGAAGGGGCTGCCGGAAAACCCCTCTGATGAAAGGCTAAGGGAGCCAGATTATGCCGACGGGAGAGAAGGCTGCCGGGCATATAGCAACATGCTTCAGCTTCATGACTTCTCTGATATTCAGACAATAGGAACTAATTCCACAGGGAACAAAAAAAAAAGGAAAAGGGACTTTGAAATGTAGCCCAGTGGACGCAGGCTGGATGTCATGGAGGAGTCCCTGACTGTGATGGCCAAAGAAGGTGCACTTCCCTCCCTGGCAAGGATCTGGGCTATTCCTACTGTGAGACAGATGGATTAGACGTCCTCTTACTGTCCCTTACTGTCCCCAAAATATCATTTTCAATTCTCAAACATCCGATATAAAAATAAACTCGACTAAACTGTTATGACTTCAGAAGAAACTGTTTCTTTAAAAAAAAACACCTGTGCTAGAAATGAAACCGTATGTCCACAAGAAGACTTGTACAAGGCTGTTCAAAGCAGCCTTATTATTCATATTAGCGCAAATCTGCAAACAACCCAAATGTCCATCAGCAGTGAATGGATGAGCAGATTGCAGTATATTCGCAGAAGGGAGTACCATTCAGCTATAAAAGGAACGATTGATACAGTCCACAGCATGGAGAGACGGGGGCCAGACCCAAGGCACAAACCACCCAATTCCATTCATAGGAAGCTCCAGAATGGGCAACGCTAATCAATGGTGGCAGAAATCTGAAAAATGGTTGCCTTGGGGTGGGGCTAGGGAGGAATTCTTGCCCTGGGAAGGGGCAAGAGTGAATTTTCTGGGATGATAGAGATGTTCTACGTCTTATTTTGGGTGGTGGGTGCACAGGTGCATACAGCTGTCAAAACTCACTGAACTGGGCTTCCCTGGTGGCGCAAGTGGTTGAGAGTCTGCCTGCCGATGCAGGGGACGCGGGTTCGTGCCCCGGTCCGGGAAGATCCCACATGCCACGGAGCGGCTGGGCCCATGAGCCATGGCCGCTGAGCCTGCGCTCCACAACGGGAGAGGCCACAACAGTGAGAGGTCCGCGTACCGCAAAAAAAAAAAAAAAAAACCGAAAAAAACAAACAAACTCACTGAACTAACTCCTGAAGATCTGTGTACTTGACTGGATACAAAATCTAGCTCAATTAAGAAGATAGAAAACCAATGAACTCACAGTTCTGTGATTTACAAAGTCTTAAAACAATGTTTTCCTGTTTTCCCTTGGGCTGTATGACACTGGGCAAGTTATTTACACTCTCCAGGCCTGAGTCTCCTCATCTCTAATAACAGCACCAACCCCACAGGGGTGTCTTGAAGATGAAGCCCGAGCAATACATGTGCGGGCGGGAAGTGCTCAATTAAGCATTAGCTATGATTATACCAGTTTATTATCCCTTCTCTACTTTCAACCATAAGGAAAAGTGCTCTTCGTGGGCTACTGTGTTGAGTGTTCAGAAACTCCTGGGGCTGCCATACACGTCCTGTCACTCTTGCACTATTGTTACGGGCTGAACTATGTCCCCCTCAAAATGCATGAATTAAGTCCTAACCCTGAATACCTCAGAATGTGACTGTATTTGGAGAAAGTGTCTTTAAAGACATAATTAACATTAAATGAGGCCACTGGGGCGGGCCCTGATCCAGTATGAATGGTGTCCTTATAGGAAGAGGAAATTTGGACACCGCCATTCACACAGAGGAAAGATGGTGTAAAGACCCAGGGAGAAGGGGACCATCCACATGCCAAGGAGAGAGGCCTCAGAAGGAACCAATCCTGATTTTTAGCCTCCAGAACTGTGACAAAGTGCGTTTCTGTTGTTCAACCCAGTCTGTGGGGTGTCATTATGGCAGCTCTAACACACGTACAACCATCGTCCTGCTTCCACGGGGACCTCTTTACTAAGGCCCCGGCCACACTCACTGCTGCTTTTGGTGTAAAGCCGGAGGAGCTCGGCCAGGCCACTCTTCTTCACCACAGCTGTGCTGCTCAGGTTCTCTTGGTCAAGAATCCTGAGGAAGTCATCCAGCTCTGTCAGCAGCTGCTCCAGGGCTAGAGACAGAAAACAGAAGAATCCCTTATAGCAGCTGCCTTCTCTCCAAAGGCCCAGCTCAGACACACCTCCGATCCCACAGCATCCCATGACGGACCCTCTGGTCTTGAGGGGTGGGGTCCAGGGTGAGGCCAGGCAGCACATGGGGGGCCCAGCCAATAGGTGCAATTCCCAGTGCCAGCGTCACTGGGGAGAGGCAAACAGGCCCTTGGCTTCGAGATGGACAACGTCGGCCAAAGCTGTGGGGCTACCATTTGCTGGAGTGACAGTGGCCAAGGTGGTCCAGTCAAGTCTATCAGGCTGTGAGAATCTGGAAACAGGATTTTCTTCCTAATAAAGGTCAATCAAAACAGCTCAGGGTCTGGGGAACCTGAACACAGATCAGACCCGCAACCGTCAGAAGAAATGCTGTGGTTGACCCAGTTGTTAATCCTTTCCCCAAGGATGGGGAAACACAGAGTCACTTCGGGGAGATGAAACAGTGATTACTCTGTCCCCGCAGGAATATGGACAACCTATCAAAAGCCACACTTGGACAAACAAAACCTTTCCCTGAGATTCTTCAGTGACTTCAGAGCCACTTCAATTGCCACTAGGCCAGCGTCACTCCCAAGCTGGTTAAGGGCTGTGGTGCCTCGGATCTAGTTGTCAAATACGCCTCTGTCAAGGGCCACTGTTATAGAAGCACTGGCCAATTTCTAGCTGGAAGTACATTGCAGAAACATCAGTGCAGCGGGCAACAGCCTAGGTGCAGGGCCTTCCCCATTACTGTTGTTGTTATTATTGTTAATGACCGAAATCTCTATTAAGAACAGGATGCTGCATTCCATGCTGGGGTCCTCACCTTGGCGCTCCCTGCCCAGCTGGCTCTCCAGAACGTGCTCATTAATGGCAGCAGCTCCTTGAGGGTCTAAACAATGCTTTCCAACCCTGGCTGCATTGGAATCACCTGGAGAGATTTTAAAACTCCTAATGTCTAAGCCGCACCCAGACTGATGATATCAGGATCTCTGGGAGTGAGACCCAGGAGTTATTAGGTCTTAAACCTCCTCAGGTGATTCCAATATGCAGCCAACGCTGAGAAGCATGGGTCTAAATGTAATGCCAGGGGCCACAACTGAGGGCCCTCCTTCCGACAGCAGCCAAGACGCCCAGAGCCGCCCTCCACCGCCTGCTGCTGGAACTCTGAGCGGTCACACAATCTCTCCAAGCTCATTCCCTCATCTGTAAAGTGGAGAAGACTGTGTGGGCCCTGCCCATCTCACACGGTGGGTGTAAAAGACAAAATCTGTGAAGCTCTTCACAGCGATGCTTGTGAAATGCTGTGCTAACCACACAAAGAGCTTTGTCATCATCGTCTCCTCCCATCCTGTGACATCATTAGTTATTTCTTATTCTCCACCAGTAGCATTCGTCTCTAAGCTCCTCTTCAGAGAAAAACCAAAACCTTGCACTGTAACATTCCCTACCCTACCATGTAAGGGAGAGGAAGGAAAGGAAGGTCACCTCCTCCGAGCAGCCCTCCCTGACCACCTTCTCCATACTAGATATTTCTTATCATTTTCTAACTCAGCATCTATCTCCTGCTTTCATAGCCCTAATCACAACTTACTAGCAATATGAATATACAATATTTTTTGAATACACAGTATTTTTTAAATAAGATTTTAAAATGAACAATATCAACAATGAATGAAATAACAGTTTTATTTATTTGCCCATTTTTAACGTGTATTTTTGTCTTTCTCATCCTGGTCTAGTCTGTTAGCTCAGTGAGTCAGAACCACACCTGTCTTGCATCTTTGGCACCTCACGCTGTTACAGGCGTTGAATGAATGTTTATGGAAATAATGAATAAATGAATGAATAAAGTTATTAGGTACCTACTAGCTCACAAGAACTCTAGGAGGTAAGCAACATTATGCCTATTTTGCAGATGTGGACCTGGTGGTCCAGAGAAGACCCATAACGGCCCACACGGCCCATGACAGAGAGCTGGGTTTGCTGCCTGACTCCAAGGCTGAGCTCTTGGCAACACCCCACCTGATGCCTCCATGTAGGGCCTTCTTCCAGCATCCCCCAAAGGCCTGGCGCCCCAGAACTGAACCAGAGCCCCTGACTATCCCCTAACCCCCTCATTATAGAAGCCCTTATACTCCCCTGGTTCTAAGGGAGAGCCCAGTGCCCTATTTCTGTTCAAACACCCCCTTGGCTCTCAGTGGGGTAGCAGCCTCTGACTCCAATTCTGAAAAACCAAACTCCCTGGAATGAATATTGCTACCGACCGGGAGAGAGCTGGAGGAAGGGAACGGGGGATGAGGATGCTTATTTCGGAAGAGAGCAGTGATAACAGTACCAGCGCATGTGACTGTCAGGTCAAACAGCCAGCTGGCTCAGATGAGTGGGTGCCGCCTGTCGTAGGTCAGAGCGCTCTCTCCCTGCAGGGAGAAACAGCAGAGAAACCGCCTCTCTCCCTTTCAGTGTCCTGGTAAAGGATGAAGAATCAAGCGGGTCCCACAGAAGTCTATGCGTCACTTCCCCTCCAGCTTGTCAAAAGCCAAGCGAAGGTAAAAGACACCTTCACATAGCCAGCGGCCCAAATGCTGCATGTGGTACGTGTTGGCCCGTGTGCCTAGAGGTAGGATGGAAGACGCCCTCATCTCTGCCCGAGAAGAGATGAGCAGATGGTTAAGGGATAGCCAAGGAGAGGCAAGAAAGAAGCCACATCAGGTAGTTCTGCTTGGGAAAGAGCCATGGACCAACAGCAGAGTCTCCTGCCCCGTCCTTGGGTATTGAGAAGAACACCCCAGGGAATCTCCAAGAGGCCAGTGGCTTCTGCCCTGTTTACTTAAAATTGATTAAACTCTTAACGCAATGAAATTTGAAAGAGCACCAGCAAAAGCTCCCAGAGCCCACCGAATCAGCATCTGGCGAGACCTCTCCGTGTGCCCAGCACTCAGCTGGGCCCTCAGCCTCAACTTACTGGGAAACTGGAAAGGAGACCTGGATGGCGTGGCTCCTGCCTTTTGCAGGCTTGTTGGCGGGACAAGACGAGCACAGGTGAAGTGATTAACAGACCAGGGCGCACCACCAAAGAGTCAAGAGTCTCGCAGCTGATATCAGACGATAGGTTTAAGGCTGGAAGGTTTCTGGGAAGAGGCCCTCGTAGAGTAAGGCCTTAGGTTGTTTTTTGTTTCGTTTTGTTTGATTTTGAACAGTTATTCATGAGTTTCCAGTTGGCTGCAGAAACTCAACAGGCTGAAAGAAATGAGCTTAAAGAAGTCAAACTGGGGGACTTCCCTGGTGGCGCAGTGGTTAAGAATCCGCCTGCCAATGCAGGGGACACGGGTTTGAGCCCTGGTCCGGGAAGATCCCACATGCCACAGAGCAACTAAGCCCGTGTGCCACAACTACTGAGCCTGTGCTCTAGAGCCCGTGAGCCACAACTACTGAGCCCGTGTGCCACAACTACTGAAGCCCACGCGCCTAGAGCCCGTGCTCCGCAACATGAGAAGCCACCGCAATAAGAAGCCCGTGCACCGCAACGAAGAGTAGCCCCCGCACGCCACAACTAGAGAAAAGCCTGCACACAGCAACGAAGACCCAACGCAGCCAAAAATAAATAAATAAAATTTAAAAAAAAAGAAACAAGTGAATTAAAACAAGACACTAGAAAAAAAAAAAGTCAAACTGGGGAAAAACAAAGGATAAATGACTCTGAGGCTTGAACTCAGCTACAGTGGATAAGGAAAGTGAAAGGGCCTTGCAAAACAACTAGGATCTCAAGCTGCATTTTTCCTGACCTTCTGAACTCCACTGAGCTATTACTGCTGCTACTCCTGCTAACAAACAAAGAAAAAACACGAGAACTTTAAGTGTCTCTTGTTTCCACATCCTCAGCTATTCCCAAAAGCTGCCTGATTCCTGGAAAACAGCCTTGTTTATTTTTATGTGAGCAGATACATACCAAGCCAAAGGATGAAAAGCATCAATGCCTGGCTCTGGGGAGACAAAGGTGACCCTGATGGGGTCCCTTGCACTTCCAGGAGCCCCATGCCTGGAAATAGGGCACCAGTGAATACACAGGATAGAAGTGATCCAGGGACATTTCCAAGGATCAGGAATGTACCGAGGAAAGAGACAAACTTCGGGGTTATCAGGGAGAGGAATTTATAAGCTGGCCATTGCGGATGAATAGGAGCTCACCAGGAAGAGGCAGAGGCATTTCAGGAAAAGGGAATGATGCTCAGAAGAAGACTCAGATGCTGAAAGCACATGGGGTGTCTGAGAAACCACGAGTAGCTCTGTGTATCAGGGCACCCAGAGCATGGGGGCGGGGTGGGTGGGCCTTGAAGGAGAGAAAGTGGGCTCTGCGGCCAGAACTGCAGACTTAGATCCTGTGGGCAGATCATAAGGGCTTTATTCGCTTTGCTAGGGAGTTCGTGCCTCATCCTGCAGGGCTTCTGGGCAGTGCAGTGGAGGAGGCCATGCTATGCTGCTCTTCAAGCAGGCTAGCTCTGCCAGCTGTGGGGAGGACGGTGGAAGGGGACCAGGGGACAGGACGGGGAGGCAGGGAGGCCAGTGAGATGACTGCATTAGCTCAGCTGAGGAAGATGAGGGTGTCACCCAATCACAGCGGCTGGGGCCATGCAGGGTGCTGCACCCCACCACCTCCAAGTCTCCCAGGCACTCTGCAAGTGCACAGTGGGGGGAATGGGCTCTTGAGCCTGGATTACAACCTAACTCTGTCACGTCTGCCGTTAACAGCGGCACTGGGGTTCAAGTCCAACTGTGAACAAGTCCAAGTACTTGCTGTCTGCTGACCGCGCTGGGGAAGTCAGAGAGGTTGACCTGGATCATGGCCTCTGCTTCCCAAGGTAGCAGGGGATGGGATGGAGGGGTTGGACTTGAGACATGTGACAGGTAGCAGCCATGGGCCATTAGATGTGGAGACTGTAAGAGAAGATGCCCACGGGTGGCTGAGAGCTGCAGAATACCA